ATGTTGTTAATATACTCAAAGTACATTAACGAGTGCTTTAATAACGCATATCGTAGACACCAAGCATATCTCTCTCTCTTTCACACACACACTCTCTCTCTCTCTCTCTCTCTCTTTCTCTACTCGTGAATCTTTAAAAGATCGTTTTTACTTTTTGATTTATATTATACTCCTTTTCTCTCCCAAAATTGTTCATCGGTATAGCCAATAAAACATATGGCCCGATAACTTTAAACTAATAATCGTAATAAAATGAATAATCTCGTATTAAGAGTTGTATTATTATTCGATGAGAAAAAGAAAGAAAAAGTGATATTATTGTCGTCAGAAAGCGCTTTATGAAAGAACGAATAGGATGTCGTTAAAAGTGTCGATTAGTTTTCCAATAGGAAAGGACATGATTAATGCAATTATTATCTGAAAGGGAAGGTTATACGTCACTGTTTGTTACGCGTTCGCATGCGTAAAAATTATTCGGATGAATTAACGCGGAAGAAAAGTTGAAACTTGAAGAACAAAATATCAGAAAAAAAGAAAAAGAAAAAGAAAGAGAGAGAGAGAGAGAGAGAGAGAGACAGATAGAATGAAAAAGAGAGAAAGATTGTAAGAAGCGAAGAATAGTAAATAAGATATAAGTGAAATAAAAAGAGGCCAAGAATGAAGATAGAGAAAAGGAGAGTGTATGAGAGAGAGAGAGAGAGACGTAAATAGAAAGAGATGGAAGGAGAGAGTGAGTGAGAGAGATAGAACGAGAAGTACAATATGGGTCAGTTATTGATTGCTCCCTGATCGACTCTCCGTAATGCCTACCATTCATCTCTAACGTTTCTATCTATGTTGTCTTAGATATTGACGATACGCAAGTACCTCCTTGATGGTCCAGGATCATGGAGCGTGTATTTTATATCGCTGGGAAAAATGACTACGGTGATGATATCATAAATATTTTCAACTTGATAAAAATACAAAAGCAAAAACAGGAGAAAGATTTTATTATTATTATTATTATTATTATATCAACACGAGATGGCAGAATGAAACGCATATTAGCGTCGTATAATGCATCAGCTTATTTGCGTCGACCCTTATCACATTAAATATCCGCGCTATGGCCAAGTAAACAAAAATTCACAGGCAGAGTTCGTGCGACGAGTGTATTAGCTAACGAGGCAAATTAAGAAAGAAAAATTTGCAAACTACCATGTTGAATAAAAAATACAAATGAAACGTGACCATCGTTATGAAAGTGTGGTAAGCTCTACTTGCGTTGACCATCGTTAAAAAGAAAGAAGAAGAAGAGAAAGAGAGAGAAAGAGAGAGGTAGTTTCGCTGTGAATTTTCCTTCTTGATAAACTAATGTCATTCTTGCAACCGAGTTTTCGCGACAAAAAGTATCATTTTTGTGTAAAGAATGCTAACGAAGAAAGGTTATCAATCGATAAAATCGATAAACTTTCGATCTTACCGATCCTCCCTATTGATATAGATACAAGGAGGAGAAAAGTTTGCGCCTCATTTTACTCCGAAACGTTCGATCTACTTGAACAAAGCAGGTCGTTCATTCAACAAAGCAGCAGCAATGACAGCTCAATGGCTGCAAAATGTGGGCTAACCCTGAGGGTACGATTTTATTGGAGCGACGATAAAAGGTAGTTCTATGAAGGAAATGACGACAATTTCAAAGCGAACAAAGAATAAAAATACATGTTTGTATAAAGCCGAAGAAACCAAGCGTGTCAATGACTAGGTCGCTGTAGAATCATTAATCGATTTCACAACTATTTTAATTTCATTTCTTTATCTCTATTGCGTTAATAATCAAACAATTATTCGATTATCAATTATTTGCATGTTCATCATTTTCCTAGGGATTTTCTAGGGTATATGTTTCAAAGAAAGTAAACCTTTCGAGGGACCTAACTAATCGTTCGAAAGAAAAATCAACTCTGTAATCATCTCGACTCTCGCAAAGAAATACGAGTAGGTTTATTTGAATGATTCTTTCGATATATTTATTAATTCGAAAGAAAAATATATATATATATGTATCGTATGCAGATGTCGTGTCATAGTTTAGTTCAAATTTAATCTCCCGAGTTGTCCCCAGGTACCTCGCTGCTGCACTGGTAAGTATTATCAAAGAACACGAACGAATTTCATAATAATCTTTACGATTTTACTAACTCGGCATAATAGTGAAAGCAATTGAACGTCCGAAGAAGAGAGATCCGTTCTATTAAATAAAACATATTAATGATCTTGGGTTGTTTCATAATTAAATGTTCGTTTGTTCGTTCGTTTGCTCTACGTAGCTACGCTAACAGATGAACGAAAAACTATATTAGACGTTGTGTACTCTATATAAACGTCACGTGCTTTTCTCATCATGCGCAACGACGAACGCATCTAACCAAGGATACGAATACGATAGTGTGTCGTAGCTCTCGAAAAATCATAGAATCGAAGAAAGAATAGAATAGATGTCAGTTAAAAGAATCTAAAAAAAAAAAAACAGAGAAATACCTAAATGAATCGTATAAGATTTATACATAAAAATACTTACGGATGGGAAACACGCCTGTGAAGGCTTCTGACAGACATGGTCTTGTTGCGAGCCGTTCCTCCGAAGGAAGCTTGAAAGATGGTCCCGCTTCCAGCGTCGGTTCCGGCGTAAGTCCCAGCGTAGGGTCCAGGGTCGAATCTGGAGTCGGGTCGAACGTCGGTAGCGGAATCGGTTCCAGGATCGGTTCCAGGATCGGTTCTAGGTGCGATGGCAACGTCAATGCCAGCGTTACCGTTCGGCGTGACGCGGCGCGAGGCAACCGAACCAGGAGAGGGTGCAAGTTGGTCTCCCGTCGGTGCCACGGCCACCGCCGCCGCTGATGCGAAGCCCCCCGAGGTCGCCAGAACGGCGCTGTTGATAGTGGTACCGGTGCCGGCGCCGGTGCCGGTGCCGGTGCCGGTGCCAGTGCCGGTGCCGGTGCTGGTGATGGCGGTCTGGTTGCTCCTGACGTTGGTACGTCGGAACGGGCCCGACGTACCCGACAATCGCCGTGCTAATCTGCGGGCGAGCCGACGGGCCAGGCGCGCCCCTGCACCACCGACACCCACGCTGACAATATTTCTGTCCCACCCCCCGTGTCCAGGGGGTGGTACAAGTATCACGGTTTACCTCTTCAAAACCTTCCCCTTTCTTTCCTATATATTTCGTCTCTACTTTCCCTCCGGGAACTCTTGAACGCTCCGAGACTCGCTTCTCTTCCGTCCTACGCGACGAATTATCCAGCCTCTTTGTCTAACTTTTGCCTCCTTTATCGCATTAACACAACGATAGTAATTCCGTGTCTCTTTGGCTAAACGATAACAATACCCTTAATCGTCAATCAAGCTAACGAAAAGATTATCCAATATTCAATGTAAACTGCTTGCAAATGTACCTACGAATGTGCAAGTTGGGATCATCGATGGATTTAAATTGAAAAAAAAACCGATTAGCCCAAGAAGTACGATCAGCCTCGTGTTATTGAATCGTTCAAGGGAACGCTATTTCCATATTTTCGTCTTTGATCGTATCACGAACGGTAAAAATTTGTTTAGAGTCTCGCGTAAAATCACTTTTCACAAATTTCTGCGAAAATTTGCGTGATTCTTCTTTCGCAAGAAGCATCGCGCCACCCCGCTCCATTTCTCTTCGAACCCACGTGTCTTTCTTCCCCTTCTCTTTCTCCTCCTCCTCCTCTTCTTCTTCTTCCTTATTCACCTTATATCCACCCTCTAATATAGCTTAGTATCACAATGAACAATTTTCCTACGCTTAACCTTAAGATTATAAAATCACAGTCGCAAATTGATACGGATCCTGTCGTGCGAGCCCTTCCCTCTCATTCGTCCGAGTTTTATTTTTTTTAGGCGTCGTCGCGAGAAACGACAATCGTTCTCTCGGACCACTTGTTCAGGTCTATGTCGATGCGCATGAATTTCGTCAGGCTTTATCCGTGTAATGAAATCCGGATGATTGAGAGAAACCCTGATCGTCGTTCGCACACCGTTGCTCCCTACGGGACGGATTGCGTCTGCCCATCGATATCGATACTAGCCGCCTTTAGGAAAAGCCTTCCTGATTTTTCACCGGTTTCACTCGGCTCAGCTCGGCTCGGCTCGCGCCACGAGGCTCTCGAGCTCTTTGTTCGAGCGAATGACTGCTACCATCACCGGCACAACCACTACTACCACCACCTTCTCTACTACCACTACCACCACCTTCTCCACCACCACTACCACCACCACCACCACCACCACCAGCACTACCAGCACCGCCACCACCACCGCCACCACCCTCGCTTCCACCCTCGACCCCTCTCTCGCCCTCACCCTCGCCCACGCCGCCACCACCACCACTGCCCTCTCCTCCGTCTCCACCTCCACAACCACCACCACCCGCAGCACAACCCTTCCTCGACTCGGCGAATCAGCACGCGATATCTTGCGAAAATCAAAGAACTCTCGATCTATTTGAATCCTCCCGATTCTTCCCGCGTTTTATCGCATTCGCCGATATCTTTGAATCCTGCGTAATTGTACGGCTATATCTTGTATGAAAGAAACGAGAGACGAGCAGTGCCATTTTTTAATTTTGTCCTCTTATCTTTGATCCTTATTATTTATCTTCTTTTTCCTTCTTCCCTTTCTTCCTCTAGTACTAATTTGCACTGTTATATAACAATAGTATCTAAGTTCTATCGATCAATTTCATTCCTCCGTTTGATACCCGTTCCTTCGTTCCACGATTGTACCCTCGTCTAACTCCATTTTCGATGCACTATTCCCTCGAGGAAAGAACGATTACAAAACGTTAGATTTTGAGTCTTTAAAAGGCGGATACAGATCTTTGAGATGTTGAGCGTATCGATCGAAAATCATCAACTGACATATCCTTCCATACCCCTTCTCCCTTGCTCATACTCTCTCTCTCTCTCTCTCTCTCTCACTCTCTTTCACCCTTTCCTTTCCCTCTCTCACTCGTTTATCTATCTCTCCCACTCGCTCTTTCTCTTTAGAAAACTCCACAAGATAAGAGAAGAGGTCGCTCGAGCACCAACCGGAACTCAAAATTACACCTCTACTTTTCTTCTTTCTCTTTCTATCCTTTTAATTATTTTTCACGAATCCCTTCCGGTTTCTTTTCTTTGAACTTTTATCCCCTATTCCTTTTGACTTTTTCAATCCACTTGCAACTTCGACGACGTATTCCTCCCTCCTTAGACGTATCAGTCAAGTCTGATTTTCATTTATTGCATCGTTCTTCCTTAGCTGCAATAACACATATCCAGATTTTATTATATAAATACAAATTTAATCAAAATGACTCTTATAATAAATAAAATGAAAATATTTTTCGCGTTCCCTTTCTCTCTTCCTTATTTCTCTCTTCCTTATTTCTCTCTTACCCTCAAATTTCCACCCTATCCAAGTTGCAAGATGACAATTCGTTTCTTGTTATCGAGCACACCCTAAATCTCGATACAGCACTCTTACCTTATCGAGTAAAACGACGTAACGTTGTGCTCTTGTAAAATTAACAGAGTGTCGAACGAAACAGAAACATTCGTTTATATTAGATATTATCAAACGACACTGCGATAGAACGGGGTATAGTGAAAATCGAATCAAATGTTAGGCAACACTTTACCGATCGTCAATGTTTTCGGGTGGATGTTTTCGGGTGGATGTTACGGTGTGCTTCGTTACACGTTCCAGCCGCGATTATATTATTCGTTGCTCCTAAACTTTCCTATTATTTTTGGTTTTTTTGTACGCTTATTTATCTATCCTCCTATCCTATCTCCTACTATTCCCTCTGTCTCTCCTTCTCCTATTCCACCTCGCTTTGCGCATTCCACTCAATTGGCCCACTCATTCGTGCTTGTTTTGCCAAAGAAACTACTTTCGCACCCTCTCATCCATCCATCCAACCATCCATCCATCCATCCATCCATCAATCTACCTGTTTCCGTTCTTTAATTCGACCGCTTATTCATTCATCTACCTCTCTGCATATCCACCGTTCCCTTCCCACCCCCCGTTAAAGCTCGTTTATATACTCCGATCGTAAAACGAATGTAAGAGAGCGTGATATGTTCCTTCAGTTTAAGACGATGCCATACATGCGCGCCGATCGTCCTTATTGATTACGACGCATTGCTGCGTGTAGAAAGCCGATCGCTTTTCTCCCTGAGAAGGGACATTCGTTTCCAACGTTGTTAAATGCGACCAATGAAAAACGTTTCCTTTGAACGGTAAAGCTAATAAACGCGAAAGGTATATACTATTGTGTAAGCCCGCGATCGGTGCAAGCCACTGAGCGATTACCCACTCTGCAACAGTGGCTACTGTTATACGCGTTCAAACATACCATTGACTTTGACGTTAGACGGCTGATAGCCGGCCTCGCACTGATACCGTACCGCCCGCGCCGTAACAACCACGGCCTGACTACATCCGCCCCCTTCCCGCACGATTCCCTTCTTAACTCTTCTACAACCACCGCTACGCCAACGACGTACCGACCAGCCAAAAAACACAACCCTCTTTTGCAAACGATTTGGGCGCCGCGTTACGACTTTTCGCGAAAACGATTCTCCTCCTAGATGACACTTTCTTTCTTCGATTACCTTTTCATCTGATGCTTCTCTTTCCTTCGCTTCTCTTCTCTTTTATTCTCTTATTTTCTTTTCTTTTATTTTCTTTTCTTTTCTCCCCTCGACAATTCTCTTCTTGATCTGTTAATTATTGTAGGCAACGTATTATTATAATCATTTATACCTTTATATATATGCAATATCATACCAAATTCTATCATTATCTTATCCTAGAGATTATCTAATCTTTATAATTTTATACTTTCGATGTTTTTGATTATTTTCTTAGAAAGATTTTATCAAATACTCGTATCGGTTAATCTCGTAACATTGATTCAAGTAAAATGTATCAAAATTATTACGTGACTACTTTATTGATATGAATTTATGATGATATTATAAAATTTGTTTTACTAAAAACTTATCTTATAATCTAAGCGCAAAGTCATAACACACATTATTCCATTAATTTGTATGTTGTACACTCCTTATTATATAATAGACGCATGAATAATCCTTCCAAAGTTTAACCCTTTTTATCAATTGCTTTGATGTTTGAATTAATGATTGGAACAATAACGTTTTCGTATTCATTGAAGTAATTAACAAGTAAATCTACAAAACAAGATACATTAACTGATTCGTTTTTGTGTATTCTAATTATTATTCATATTTAAAAAAGGTACAAATACAAAAGCATAAGAGGTGCGTGCCGTGTCTCTAGCGACATCTATTAAAGATCGGTGAAAGTAATCGCGAAAAAAACAAACTTTGGTACAAAACTTAAATAATTAGGATATGAATACTTATTTTTAAATCCAAAAACCAGAGACCATTACAAGTAATTAAAAAAGAAATCTATTCTAATTAATTATGTTTAACAAAAATATTTCATTTATATTTCGCGCGATATGCAGAAATTTTCCATACGAAGGTAACTTCAATGCAATAAACATCAAAGTTTTAGAATCAATGGACAATACTATATATTTGAAGATTATGATAATGCAGTGCAGCTTCAATATTAATGTACAACTTTAATTACACATACTTATAACTATAATAATAAAGATTTTACTTTGTAATTACCTTTAAATGGAATAAGTATTCTAATATATAACAACAAGGAGCAACGCGTAATTGTCACTCCCCAACAATGGCACTTGGCGCGAAGATCCAAGGATGACTGTGCGCATGCGCACAAATGGTATTCTCTTTTTTTCTATTTTCATTTGATTTATTACTTATATAAATATTTCTTTATTTATTCAAAGTCTCAATCTAATTCAAAATTAATATAATATTTATAATAATCGAAAACGAAATAGAAAAATTAATAGATGAAAGTTATTAATTCACAGTTATTTGCAGATTCAGCTGAAAATAGTAAAAAGCAACTTCTATTTATATCTTTTCTCGAGAAACGATATTAATCGAATCGTACGTATCGACTTTTTCTGTCTAGCCAAATATATCGTTTTTTAAATTTTCTTTATAGAAATGGACACATTGTTGTATATAAATAATGGCTCTTTATTTAAATTTGCGATGGCGCCACGGATCAATAAGTATATTAATTTGCCGAATCGATTTATCGAAAAATCGTTCGTTATCGATCGGAACGGTGAGGGCGCAGCTTATAGGAATACGAAATTTCGATGTTCTTTCTTGTGTATTATGTGACATACTGATTTTGTCGATATTTTTCTTATAAAAGTAATGTCGAAATAACAAGCAGCTAAGACGTGCCTTACGTTTTAATAGCTTATCGTCTCTTTATTTGCTTAACTTATCGCAAAGTGAGTTATTCTCGCTAACAGATCCTTCGGCCATCTTATCAACTCGATTCTAAACAAACGTGCCTCAACGGATCCGCAATGGCGGAGACAAACGGGGCCGCAAATTTAAACACAAAAAATGGAAATTTTATTTGCGGTGTTGTAGAAGGTGTGTAAACAATATTAAATTATTATTTTGTTTTTATCGTTTCAATATATTTATTTGTGGATTTACAATGAAAACCTCATTTTACTTTACTGTGGATACAGATGTCTTTTTATTTATTTATTTTGTTTCTTTTTTTTTTTTTTTTTTTTTTTTTTTATTTCACTTCTCTCGTCTCGTTAATAGTATATTACATTAAATTTAATTTTCAATAGGATTTTATGGAAGACCATGGACAACGGAACAACGAAAGGACTTGTTTCAAAAGTATGTTTCTTAAAATACATAGAATATGTGCAATGGAATTCAAGAATTTTTTTATATTTGTAGACTTAAAAAATGGGGAATGGATTCATATTTGTACGCTCCCAAGGACGATTATAAACATCGTGCTTATTGGAGAGATTTGTATACAGTGGAAGAAGCTGAACATCTAACGGGTTTGATCACAGCTGCTAGAGAATGCGGTATCACATTTTATTATGCTCTATCTCCAGGATTAGATATCACGTATTCCAATGCTAAAGAAGTGGCAGCATTAAAAAGAAAATTGGAACAAGTCAGCCAATTTGGTTGCACCGCGTTTGCCTTATTATTCGATGACATAGAACCAGAAATGAGCGAAGCAGACAAAGAAATGTTTCAATCATTTGCACATGCACAAGTATTAACATTTATTCTTGACAATTTTTCCTACATCCTTAACATATTTCATTATATCATTTTTTGTTGTGCATGCAGGTTTCTGTAACCAATGATATTTTTCAACACCTTGGGCAACCTCGTTTTCTTCTATGTCCAACACAATATTGCGCTACTCGAGCAATACCCAATGTATCTTCTTCTGAGTACCTGAATACTCTTGGAATGAAATTAGCTCAAGAAATTGATATAATGTGGACGGGTCCCAAAGTAATATCCAGACTTTTAACTATTGAATCTATTGAAGAAATAACAGAAGTTCTTAGAAGGCCACCTGTCATTTGGGATAACTTACATGCTAATGACTATGATCAAAAAAGAGTTTTTCTTGGCCCTTATTCCGGTAGATCACCTGATCTTATTCCTAAATTAAGAGGTGTTTTGACCAATCCTAATTGTGAATACGGTGCAAATTTTATTGCTATTCACACATTGGCACAATGGAGCAGATGCAATATCGATGGAAAGAGAGATTTAAGTTTGAGTATGTTTCATGTTTTTCTATTTTTTACTTACATATTTTAAACAGTATATTATAATAAGTAACTTCTATATTATTTTATAGACGACACTGTATCTGCTGATATTAAATTAGAAACAGAGACGGAAGATGGAGTTATTGGAGAAGACGTACCTTCAACTTTATCTCCAAACATGTATCATCCGCGTCATGCGCTCAAAAATGCGATAAATGAATGGTTATCAGAGTTTAATAAGAAAAAAGCAGCATGGGGTGTCATAGCAAAACCGCAACCATGTGTTGCCCCAACAATACCAATTCCAATTATTCCTTCTGTTAATACATGTATGAGTTTGACATCCACTACAACGACAACGGTTCCAGCAACTCCTACACCAGTAACTAATTCTAATCACTTACAAGCATTGGCTGAAGTATGTTCTACTGTCACAAGTAGCGATAGTTTTGCCCAGCCGTCTACTGGACCTATTATGAATTCTTTAGTATCTGATACCAAAGTAATCAGTGAACCTATAGTTTCAACAATATCTCCCAGTGTAGGAAATGAAGCAATTCCATCGATCATGTCTTCGGTTGAGCCGATGGATTGTAACACAACTCCTAGTGATTCTCCTGCTCATGGAATAAAAATACATGTAGAAGATGACATTATGGTAGAAAACACTTCTGTGAGTCATTTGTAAATTCTTTTTATAGAATCTTCCAATGTAAATTCGTATTAATTTTTTTTAATCAAATTTTCATAGACGTGTAGCGAAGCTTCTGCAGGTATGCAAGTAGATGTAGATGCTACTTCACCAACGATAAATGGTACACAAATGATTATTGAAAATGATAGTGAAACTCATGAGAATAATGATAATATAGATCAAGATTCTTTATCAATGAAAGATGCAGACAAACAGTTAACTCAAGAGGATTTATGTTTGTTGTGCGATTTATTCTATTTACCATTTGAACATGGCGGTCAAGGTATTCAGTTGTTACAAGAATTCAACTGGCTAAAGAGCAATGCTCACGTTGTTATGAAAAAATCAAAGGAAGAGGATATTGCTTCGCAATCTGATGTAAGTAATTAATTAATAAATTAATAATTTATTTTGTAACATGTAGATTTCACTTGACAATTCCAATAAAAATATTTCAGATTGAAGAGTGGCATACTCGTGCAGCTAAAATGAATGACATGTGTAACGCAGTAAACAGATTATTTCAACGACTTACGTACTGTAATAATCGCGAACTATTATATGATTTATATTCATATATGTGGGACATGAGAGGAGTTGTGTCATTACTAAATAGTTATGTAAAATGGTTAGGTAAGTTATTTCTGCTACAAATACAATTTTTTTTACAGTAGATTAAATTTCCTGAAAATAATTTATTCTTTTTGAAAGCAATGTAATATTTGAAATTGTACGTATGAATAATATCCATTGAAATATGCATTGAAAGTGTGATTACATATTTCAATTAGTAAAATATTACACTAATGATGAAAGTCTGCTAAAATGCTAATATGCTGGTACAATAATTTAATTTCTAAAAAAATATATATATTATCATAATTTTATATTTTTTAAAATAAACAAAATTAAATTAAGGTATATTAATTCGATTCTAAATTTTTATTCTCAGTTAACTGCTCACTGTACTTGAACTGCATTGGTTATGTGGAATAATTTATTATAGCTCCAGACAAATGCTGTTATTGGCCTTTCTCAAAAATATTATTATTTATTATCTGTACTTGTATTTCAGAACAGATTTATCAACGATATTGGTAAGTGAAGCGTCTTTTTTAACATTTATATTTATTAAATTTTTTTACAAGAAAGGTATACTTTCATTATAATTAAGTTACTATACTTCCTAATAATAATAATAATATTTTAGTTACAATTAAAAATCATGCTATATATTGATAGTTAAATAATAGGTTGAAGTACAATATTAAGTAGTAAGAAATGTGAACTTTATTTTATCTTTATTTCACTTCATGCAATTTATGTTAATTCATTTTTATTTTTCTTATCTAATTGTAAAATTATAATTATACTTATAAATATTATTATATTTTTTTAAGAAAAAGTTTCGGTCGGAAAACATTCCATAAAATCTGAAAATTATTGATGTACTCTTCAGTGCTATTCCATCGTACATTATTAGAGTTACACGAATGATGATAGATGGAAATATTTCTTATTTTAAATTATACACCTTTACTTAATACATTCCAAGAAGATAGAAATTATTTATTTATGATGCATTTAATATAAATTTTAAAATTACATGATCATATATCATTCTGTGGGTCGCATATCCACAAAATTATTTTTTACATTTATTTCTGCGCTTTAGAAATAAATGTATCATGCGGCATTGGATAAAATTGGATAAATAAAATTGCTAAAAACTTTAATCAAATTTATTTATGTTTACTTGTTGTGTGTGCGCGTGTGCGTGTGCGTGTATGTGTGTAGTGCATCTGCTAGTTTAAACAAATTTTAATTAAAAGAATCGATTGGTTTATAATAAATTCTTATTTACATATATAGCAATCTTATTTATGCAATAATTAATTTAATTAGGTCAGCCACACATAATTAAATTTAACTCAATGAATAAAATGATTAAAATGAATACGAAAATAAAACTAAATGTTGTGGCTTTCCTGCGCAAAATGACTGTGGCACAAAACTTACAAGATCAATATTTTTGGGAAACTATTCAACAGCATTTCTTCATGGATAAACAAATATCGGATTTGAAATCTTCTTGTACCAGCTATTAACATATCAATTGACTTTCTTTTACAGACACTACTTAGCAGAAATGTATTTATAGTGTATCAGTCCTATAATAACAGGAATTTTATTAATTAAACAATCATATTTATAATTATTATTTCCAATATTGACATTTCTGCTATGGTAATAATATATGAGGAATAATACGACTTTAATACGCTGACTAACTACTACTCTGTGTTTTTGTCCTGTTGATAGCATTTGGCAGATTCCCAGCAACGATGACAACATATACCCAGGGAAGCTACACATGTATGCGATTCATCAGTTTTAAGTAATTTACCATTGCGCGCGCGATTCGCGAGACCTTGAATCTTAAAACAATTTACTATTTTTTTCTATTATATATTCAAGGTTTTGCACAATAAAAACACATTTATTATTTTCCTTTTTAACATAAATAATAAATACGCGCGTTAAAAGCTGCATTCCTATGCCTTAGGAGATTAATGCGCGATTAATATGCGATTTTAACGCATCATACCATAATGCAGGATGAGCATACTTATTAATATTATCAATTGCATATTTATTTTAGTCGATTATATTTATTGCAACCATTGTAAATAATATATCGAAACATTTTTATTATTTAATTTCACATTTAAAAATATTTGTTCAATGCTGTCGTAGTTTATTCACTATTTATATTGTATAGTAAATTTGAGAGTGATACATTTTCAACACTATTTCGATTTTTGTATTTATCGATTTAGATATCAATTAAGACTAAAATATTTTTTGCAGATAAAGTATGTTCAATCTCGTATATTTAGCAAAAAACACTTTGATAAATATATAAAATTTCACAAACTCTTGAAACTTAATGCTTATATGGTCAATTACGATAGAAAAAAGAAAAATTAGTTTTGACGTTTATATTTCATATTTATTATTACAAATAATTTTATAGTCAATATTTTCTTTAAAATAAATAATCGTAAATGGCCTGAAAAATACTTTCTTTTGCCAAGTTGCCTTTGCTAACTTATTTTGCTTAGTTCCAGAAATTATATTCTTTCCAGGATAATGAAAGTTTTATTTCAGGTGCAATTTGGCAAGAGAAATAGAATAATTTCATATACATTAGACCAAGAGTTTATGATTATTACAAAATAGTTTTTGTAAATTACAATCCTATCACTTTTCGTTTCTTCTTTTATAAACAAATAAATAAATCAATTGAAACACGCGATTTTATCTCTCACAAAACATTTTAAATAACTTAAAATCTTTTCTATATTTACAATAGTACTGTGCTTGCACAGTATTTTTCTTTTTCTATTTTCTTTTTTTCTTTTATTTTCTATTTACATTTTGTTTTACATATTTATAAGAAAGAAAGGCACTTATATAGATGATATATCACTATTCGCGTAATGTCATTTTTATTAAAAAAAAAACGAAAAAAATTTGTAATTTTCAAATTGACATTAGTTTCTTTCCCCTTTATTTCTTATATTTAGACAACGCCAGTTTTGAACAAGATAATTGAAGGAAAGAAAATGAAATACCATACTTAAAAACCCATTTGTGCATGACATAGATATAAGCAAAATTGATGCCCAATGCAGTGGAGGCCATTTCAATATGTTCGTAGACATAAAGCACGAATGAAATTATGTATTTAATAGTAAACTAATTAAATTCTTTTCTGTGCCCTCAAATAGGGTTTTCTAATGGTTGGAAAGAAACATTTATGAGTGGTGATCAAGAACCATGGGTTTTTCGTGGTGGTCTTACAGCTGACCTACAGGTAGAATTTGTCTTTTTTAAAATTAATGTAAATAATCTTGCATCTTCCACATATATTGTTCTTTTATTTTAGAGATTAATTCCAGTGGATAGCGGTAATGATTTATTTGTTTACAAAGCGCCAGAGGTACCTAGTAGTACAATATATACGATACGGCCCTATTTATCGAGCGATGAAGGAGCAGTTTATGCAGTATGTAATCAAATTTCTAACTGCACGGGATCATCGGCTGTAGCAGACAAGTAGGTGTATATAGAATATTATTTGTATGTTTTATTATATATATATTTTATTTTATACATATATCATATTATTCTTTCAGATTAGTTGGCGGATTTTTAACATTAAGTCCTGAATTATGTATGATTGTTGAAGATGAGAATGGAGTTGTAGGATATGCACTAGCTGCCTTAAATGTTAAATCTTATAACCAGAGGATGGCAGTTTCTTGGATTCCTGAATTAAAAATGAAGTATCCTTTGGATACCGGCATAAATAATTTACCACAGGATATTCAAGTATGTATATAAGTATAATGAATATGTATGTCTATATTTAAAATTGTTATGCAATGATTCTTTGTCATCATCATTTTAATTTCTATTAAAGGATGCAATACAGTATTTTCATACATTTAACCCGGATGTATCGGAACAACTGTGTAGACATCATCCATCTAAACTTTTGTGCTCAATACTACCTACTGTAACAGATCAGTCAATTCCTAAAAGATTGATAACTTGTGTCTTAGCAGCTTTAAGAGCTAATGGTAAATATTTTCTTAATAATTATACACGATCATTTTTCATATAAATCTGTTAAAAATGAATGTATTGTATATTTATATAGGTTCTTTTGGAGTTCATACGACCATGTGCTCTACGGATAAGGAAATGAATGAGTTTTATACAAAATTAGGTTTCGTTGAATTGAATCCAGCACAAGAGGAACATCCTGCAATAAAAACAATGTGTAGAAGTTTCTAACAGAGACTGAACACGTCGCTATTATTTTTAAATAAAGTATATATACTTGGATCTTCAACGAAGAAAGGATTTATGGCATAAACAATTTCGTATTCAAGTAAAATTTGTTTACTCCGAATTGGAAACAAAATCTCATCCTTTTTTACAATTTTTTTTAATTTTCTGGTAATGTAATATATATTAAAACATGAGATGTATACTTTCTCTCTCTTTATTTCTTTCTCTTTTCTCTCTTTATAGAGATATGCATAGAAGTAATACAAGAGTATTTAATGTAATTCAATAATTTTTATTTCTTCCTTTTGCTACATGATATTAAGTTAATCCTTTGTATTCTTCGCAATTCCTTTACTAAAGAAATGTCTAAATTTTGGTTTAGTTCAATTTATAAAAAAACATTTAAATAAAAAAGAAAACGCGATACTAAATAATAATAATAAAAAAAGAAAAAAAAGAAACTCTTTACTTTGAATAAATAGCAGACAACAAAAATTTACTGAAAATGTTCATACGTATAACAGAAAAAAATGACGTTTGTTCTAACAGAAATGTCACAACAGTATATATGATTTCACTCTTCTCCGTCTATTTAACATAATGTGGTAAATACGTATATATCATGTATATATTAAAAATAAATACTGTATAAAATGTGGATGTAGTGTCCTTGATAAAAGTTAGCAAAAGAGAGTATACATTTTTAAATATTTCGGATTAATTTGTATTGTTAATATTTCTGCTTACATACAACAAACACTATAATGTTCTAACGATTAATTAATTTACTGATCATTTGTGCAATTAATATGTACATAAACATGGGCTATATCATAAAATGCCATTATGTGTGTTCAATAATGGATGTCTAAATCTTATGACTTGTTAAAAATATTCTGTTATAAGAGATATATTTATAGTCAATCGAAGCTAATTTTTATTATCATCATCTGTTTTAAATAATTACGCCATTTCGACGATACAAAATTATTGATTTTACATAATGTTCATTTCATATAATGTAATACGAGCCTAAAAATGATATTAGAAACGTTCAAGCGAATATTCTAAACCTAAGCACGAACATAATTTACGTATTTCTATCTGTAATTTACAAGTGTAATTTAAGATTTCTTGTTTATCATTTATTTGATCATGCAGCTTTATAAATTTTTTTCTTTGTATTTTAACATATACTGAAATTTATATATTATAGTATTCTCTACAACTATCTATAAAAACATAAATAATATACATATATATATATTAGAGTATTTTTTATTACTAATATTAATTAACTTGATAATTTCATAAAAATATAAATTGGTTCTATGCAAATGCAGGATACATTATTTCAAATTGTGATATAAGTATAGTTATTTCGTAAGTATTATTATTTTGTTTGCATATTATTACGTTAAAAGAAAAATTATGTATGTGTTATTATCATAATTAATGTTTTATATGATATGTAACAGATTATTTGATATTTAAATTTACGATCATAGTCCAATAAATTAGTAAATAAATTATAAAATATAAATGCACATACATAAATAATTTCATATAAAAATTCATATTTAAATTTATACTTACAGACGTAGATCTAAGACATCGATATATTATATCGCTGAAGATGATGTATTTCTTTTTGTAAAAGACGAACCTGTAAACGATTTTTGTACAAACTTGGAATCATTTTTCGAAGTTACTTATGATAACAAACCTTTTTAATCGTATCATTTAAAAACTTTTGTTTAGAAATTGACGTCATATTTGTAATTCCATCCATATTTATCGTATTTAATGAATCCAACAATTCAATGATTTTTTTATTCATGTTACTGCAAAAATTATATGAAAGTTATAAATATATTTATAACTTTTAGTACATAAAATTTTGAAAATGATTTTATATCGTCACAATACTTACGCAGGTGATACAAATATTGATTTATTTCTTCTCTGCAAATTCGTTTGATCGTTTTAAAAGAAAATTGTTTATTATAATTTTATACGGCTCTGTAACGAGCAAATTTTAGTAAAATATCTTACCGAATTGTTTTCTGCATTAGTTATATATAAATCGTTAACATCTTCAGTAGCGAATGGGATGTCGCCTAATAAACATGAACTAATTACATTTTAATATTTTAATATTTAATTAATTAAAACACACAAATTTTGTATTGTTGTACCTTCTCTTCTTTTTGTAGCTTTCTCCATACTTTTATGGAAACTGCTTTTATCATCTCTCCACTTTTGTAGAGCTATCTTGTCTCTGTATAAAAAGTATTAACAGTACAGAAACAAATGTTTTAATATCGATATGTAGAATTAACCATTGGTTTATTTAAAAACAGAACTATGTATTTGATATTAACAAATTTATTGCTACTACTATATTATTAAAAAAGAATGGCAAACACAATAATTACAGAAACAGATAAAGTATCTGTTTTATATAGACCATCTAATGCATTAGAAATTTACATGAATGATTAATTATTTACTTCATTTTCTGAAGTACAGAAGCTTCTTTATTCAACATTTCTGTAATTTTATTGATCCATAAAAGTTGTTTTTGTCTAACAAAATCAATTCCTTTGCTGGCACATCTACAAATACAAATTATAATTAATTTGAATATTATATTTATACTTATATCATCATACCTATTACTTGGTTTATAAGCTTTCCTCTTTTCTATCATAGACATTTTATCAAACTTATTTGATATGTCACTGCAACTAGAGCAATTAACAACTTGTAACATACTTGATGTATCTTTGTTATTCGAATCCTTATGAACAACTGTTAATGATTTAGGTTTTGTTTCTGTTTAAGATAATAAACTAATATATATATATATATATATATATATATATATTACAATTTTCTTTCTACTTGAAATGAAAATGCAAAAAATATTCTTACGTTTCATAGGTATTACTCCAATTTCAATTTCATCTGGATGTAATTTGTTCCATTCAATTTTTAAAAATGTTAAAATACTAGAACATCCAAGTGCAACGACATTCTCTGGTGGCATAGTTAGAGGATTACACGCTACTTGTAAATTTTTTAATCTTGGTATCAAGCCTACAAATTTAATTAATTATTAATATATATTACAAGTAAATTTGGAAATATACGATAAAACAATGAATACTTTATATAGCATATTTACAGAGTTCTAATGGTAACATCTGAATTTGATTTCCTTGCAATAAAAGTGTATGCAAAGAAGAATGAAATTTGATATTCTTTGGTAAAGATTTCAATTGATTATTCCGTACATCCAACCATTCAAGATTTTGTAAAGAAGGAAAAAGTTCATCAGGAATTTCTGATAATGCATTATTTTCTAAGTAAAGCATCTATAAAGATAATGCACTTATATTAATATAAATTATTAGAACATATATATAAAACAGTAAAGCTAACTTAAGCATATATAATACCTGTATTGTTGAAAAATGTTGTGTTATATTATCTGGTAATACTGTAAGTCTTGCATTTGACAAGTCCACAAACATTGAATTATAAACAAACTTTTTGTTAGAAATTGGTACTAAATCTTCATATTGTTTATTTGATTCCTGTGTTGCATCTTGTGTTATTACCGAAGAAATATCAGATGTAGAGTCCAAATCATCTGCAGATACAGGGCACAACTCGCTAGTACGTAATACTTCAGGATCTTGAGCACGTGTAAACACAAAGATTAAGACATATTTAATATTTAGAAAATTATTCAACAATAAAACTTTGTCTAGTTTTATACAATTGTTTATACTTAATTATTTACCATATGATTCATTTGGCATATTAGCATGGTTTTCATATAATTCAGTCTTCAACGATATTTCATCGTTCAAAATATCAGCAAAATGAGATTTCAGTAGAGTATACGATTCCAAAGTTATACTTTTATCAACTTTTTCTTCCTCTTCATCCAATTCAGATAAATTATGTCTACATAAATCAGTGGACTCTTCTTCATTATATTTCTTCTCACTTTGCTATAATAAATAGTGAACATGTGATTAATCAATGAATATTTTGCATTTTCATCAAAGGATAAAAATTAAAACAACATTTATGAGAATAAAATAAAAAGAAATACCACATCTTCTTTCGTTAAAATCTCCTCCGTTTCATTTAAGATCATTTGTTCATCAATATTTTCCTTCTCATAAGCGTCTTTATTATTAACACTTTTATGAATTGATAAATATCTATCATTATTAGATTCATTATTAAATCCATAATATTGTTCAAGAAGTTCCCGTGTTACGTTAATCATTGGAATACGCAAAAACCTAAGTAAATTTTAAGTATGTATTTAATAATTTCTTAATTTATTAAACGGAATCAATATATAAGATTCGAACATAAGTGTTCATTTAAATGATTCCTTAATCTTTCACTTCTTCATTCGATACGTTTCTATAGAAACAAAAGCGATGTTTTAAAATGGATCTCATTCCTCAATATACGTTCATTCCACTTGCATGTAAAAACTATTTTGGTATAAACGATAAAGAAACACAAAATTTACTTAACAAATGGTAATCTCATATCTTTATATTTATACATTTTTATTTTGTAAAAACGTGCACAAAAATTGCTATTCATCTTACGTTATTCATTTTAATAGGGGTTTGAAGACAAATATCATTATTCAACATTTTTCCTTCAATGAACCTTTTTATTTGTATCATAAATACCATTTTACTGAGGTAAATGATAATATTAACATTTTAATATTACATTTGTATTTTGTTCTTAATTATCTATAAGTATAAATTAATTATTTGCTATTAAATAACAGGCCTTTTTTAAAAATTGCGTCGTTGCAGAAAATTTATTAACAAAAACAGGAAACTCATGGACAAAGCAAGGTATCAAATTTTATTATAAAAATAGTACTTAAATATCTTCTTCTGATATTATTGTATATTATTAAATACATTTTTTTTCTTTTTCTTTTCTAGGAGTTATTGCATCAACTGTGGACGTAGAACAAATACCATGTTCTGTTATAAATATGTCTTTTTTTGATAAATTACGAAATCCAGATAAAGGAATAATAAGTAGTTCTGGTGTTATTCGTAAGAGATATGATAGCGAAATTCATGATTTCCTTGTTTCTGACAAATTAAGAGAGGTAAGAAGAGATGTGATACGATATCTAACAAATTTCATTTCAATATTTTATCTATGTCCTTAGATGTTATTGGATGAAGAGTCAGATCAATATAATTTATATTCGAAAGATGAAAGAAACGAATTTATCTTTTGCATTTTCCAAATGTTAGTTCTTGGTGGAAGTTTATGTCAATACGAAGACACTTTGGAACCATATCTTAATACTACAAAACGGATGTATAAAGATCTCATAAGGTTCACAATTTTTGTTGTTCATTAATTTGTTTTAAACACTCTTATGCCATAGATCAAAATAATTCATTATTTCAGAGTACAAAAACGAAAAAATTCAGAGGAATTATCCATCAGTACAACAGTTTTAAAAGTTATAGCTAAAGATAATAAGAATCAAGAATATTTTCCAAGTAATACTTCTTGTAATGTACAGAATATTGGATTTCTACTGATTGATGGAAATCTACGTGAAGTTACAACGTTTCTACATCAGTTTAGTGGATACTCTGATTGATATTGTAATTACTTATTCTCATTCTTCATTTTTAATTATACGTTTATCTTATAATTGTTTATCAAATGCGTACATATATTTTTAATTGGCGCTTTAGTTATAATCATACTACGAACTATTACAACTTGGAATTATTAGTATTATATATTCGCGAGTAAAAATAATAATTATTTATTACTAATTTACTCTATTACTAAATAAAAAAAATAATTTATTACAATTAGTTGTATCTTTAAAGAAATAAATAAATATGCATAAAGGAAATTTTATAGTATATAAGATATAGCACTCTCTTGTTTTTTAATTGAATTATCGAATTTGTATCATATTTTATGCGTTTTGTTAATATTGTTTATCATACAATAATTTTCATGGCACATTTATTAATAATTATAATATTTCTATTTCGAAAACTTATAGAAAAAATATTTAATAATCTAGTTTATATATACGAATCTTTAGTTTGTGTTTCATATGTGAACTTTTATTTCTTTTCTTCATAAAATATCTAAATTTTAATGAAATAATATTTTTCCACAAGTGATTCTATTGATAATATATAAGGAATAAACATAATTTTGATCATTATAATTCAATCGTATACTAAAAGAACTACACGTAATAGAAAATATGAAATATTTAATAAAAATCGTCAAAAAAGACCTGGCAAGTAGATTATCTTTGTAAATATAATATTGTACGCAAAAAATATTGTTCGATTATGATCTACATATTAATTATACAGAAAATTTTGAACGTAATGGTCCTTGTTAGTGTACTTACAATCTATTAGATACCTAATCTTTACAATAACAATATTTGCGTAAATGGAATAGTGAATTTTCCACGCACCTAGCTTGTGACCCATATTTGTTAATTCTACTGACATCAGTAATCTAGAAAAGAATAAAAAAAAATATAATAGATACGATTGTGAAAAATGTAATTTAACTTAATCAACTTACTTTGGTATTAAAAAGATTCTTTTTAACGTTATAAGTAATACTCGCTTCAAATAATCCACCACCTGGTTCTGTTTTTACTTTTATTTGATATATTTCGGTTGTTAACTTAGTTTTTGCAGTAAGATCTGCTATAAAGCCATCTTGATCTCCAGATTTTTGAAAATTCAATAAACCTAAGATATTTTTAATTACTATATGTATACTTTTCTTATGCAAATAAAATAATAGTCATAAAATGTAATACCTTTAGTGGGTAAAAGTTTAACAGACCATAATATTTGATTCAATTGTAAGGTTTCGCATATATCACGATGATCTTCCGTGTAGGAATTAAGGAACTGAACAAAATACTTAGCAGCAGCAATCACATTAGGATTATCAACTGGTATTTCTTTCCAACTAAGGCAAGCACACCAATGTGGTTCTATGAATGCATCCGCGCATGTTCTCTCCAAGGGGATCTATTTTAAATGAATATTAGAAATGAAATATTATCTTGTTAATTGTGTTCAGAGCTCTTAGATATTATTAATATTTATTATACCTTATCAAATAAACTAATGGCCCTTTGATAACGATCTCCTTCTTTTGGAGTCTCAAAATTGATTATGGTTTGTAATGTTTTATGTACATCAAACGGTGTTGTTAAATGCTTTGTGTTATGTAAGAAATTTTCATAGGCACGTGGATAGACTTGTTTGAACCATGGTGGGAAAGTGAAAGAAAAGAACGGTAATCGTTCTTCTTGTTTACCTTGCAAAGTATTACGAATTTCTGCAAATCTATGTCCATGATCGCTCATTAATATTAAAACAGTATTATTTAAGTGACCAGAATCTTGCAATTGCTTTACCCAATGATATACATCTTCATCCGCAGCACCAATATCATTATAAGAATCATGAGATAATTCTCCGTGAAAACCAAATACAAATTTAGGCTCGTCTTTGTAAGTGTCAAAAATAGATTTTATGTAATTTAGCATAACCACGTGGCGTGGAATACTTCCCATACAATACTTATTGTAATTACGAAAATATTGCTCAGCAGCTAAGTAAAATGTTCTCATGTAATGATTTGTGGGTTGTTCTTTAAAACCTTTCAAACGATAAGTGAATGTTCCAATACGATAAACATCTTCCATAAATCCTGTTATATATCCCTTTTCTTTATATTCTTTCCACACCATTGGATATACATTAACATACTGTGCTTTCTGTCCCATACGTTTACGTGTCTCTGGCAATTCAAGTTCTATTTTGCCCGTAAGAATAGGAATCAGAGCTTGTGGAGTACCATCACCTACTATATTATACCCTTCCAAAACTAAAGTATTCAAATTTTTCTTCAGATACTGATATGTTTTAGGCAATTTCCGGATAAACGTATTACGAGATAAAGAATCAAAACCAAACATTAATACGTTTAGTTTGAGTGCAGTATTTGGAACATTATCCCAAGTATACTTCTTTTTTATTTCCGAATCTTGTTTCACTCCAGCTAGGATGCTATGCCATCTAAAATATTAATGAATGTTAAATTGATAATACACCATATGATCAAACATAGCTAAATACGGAAAAATAAAATAGTCTATTTTAAAGAATTCATTTTATACTAACTTTTTTCCATTCTCAGAAGTACATTTTACGTCTACAAAATCGCTATGTCTGGGAATATAGAAATCATCAGCTTCTATTGATTCCGAGTACTTAATACTGTTATCATCTATCCTGATTATTTCTATAAATAAAAAATAGAAACAAAGAGAACATTAATGAAACATTTCAATATTTGCCAACATGTATATAAAACTTTGAAAATAATTATAATTACCACTAAATGAGCACATCAATCGTCCATACTTATTTTGTATTTCCTTATCGACTATGAGCCTCGTTTTATCAACTTTTACCCAATCTTTGGGAGTACAAACTATGGGAGGTACATTATGTATAAATTTCATTATCTCTGGGTTGGAAACTTTCAATTCTGGTAGCTTACATGCTGGAATTCCATCTCTAAAATGTAATCAATTTAGTACTCTTTACAATAGGTCATCATAACTACATATACAATTGATTTTACATACCCTACGTACAAAGTATCTTGTTCAACCGATTCTTTTATCAATTGGGACATATGTACACTGCAATGAAACAAATAATAATAAGAAACATTTTTAGCATATTAAATTAAGATAAAAAATTATTGTATTAATAAAAAATACTATGAAAGAAATACTACTTACAGTTTGTCATAATTTGACAAGTCATCGTTATATCCTAATTCAGATCTAAGTACTTGCCCAATACAAAATATGACTGCAATTATCAATGCAATTATTATGAACCTTCTAAAGTAACACGATGTGATCCTCATGTTTATTTAATTTATCATACCTGAACAGAAATGACTGATTAGTCTTTGACGTTAATCATTTTTTCATCGATTTGTGCATGCAGGTAAATGTGAATATAAAATCTATTACAATAATAACCGAATAAAAATTGGCGCATAGAAATAGCATATTAAAATATAATTGTATCTTTTATTTTATCAAATAGACAAAAAATGTGGCTTCACTGCAAACAAGTATGTACGCAAAATATTGTTCCTAGTTATAATTTTATAGAAGAAAATAATAAGATTGTTTAAATATTTCATAGATCACATGTTGAAATGCATTTTTAATAATCATCGCACAATTAAATATACACAAAAAGCATGTATGTATATTTACATATATGTATATATACAAATTGACGCAGAACAAAACTGAATACCTTGAAAAAAGAATTTTGTGTATATATCCACGAATTACGTTTCTTTCTGATAATATTTAGCCGCTTGTTCCAAACGAACAAGTGGGATCATTTTGATTAGATAAACGACTTATCGGGATTATGATAAGTTTTACAGTAAGTTTTTTTCAAATTCCATATATTGAACATTTCAAAAAAAAGAAAATTCTTCTTGAGATTCGATTTCGTTTATTTCATCGTTTTTTAACCAAAAGTTCACATTTAATAATTTCTCTCTTTACATAAGAACTCGAAAACATCTCTTCGTTACTTTTATTTCTCCAAATTCTGATATTATGTGCAGACATAGAGGGCGTCATTCAGTAGCATTTATTTATATTATTTAATCCGGTCCTAATATGTTCGGTCCATATGTTTTCTTATTCATTTTTTCATAAATTTGTTTAATATACAAAAATTAGTTTAAATTGCAATACATACTTGGAATTTTATGCATTCGTAGGCACCGTACGCGAATACATGACATTCGCAAATAATTGCATTATATTCATAGAATACACTTTAACGATTTTTTGTTGCCGTCATCCTCCATAAAGAATATTCAAGAATAAACTGTGCGTACATGATCGTCGAGTTAAAAGTTGTAACATCAGTCAATGATTATCATTACGCGACAAAAGAAAAATATACTTACAATTATGTAAGTTTGGATAAATGAAAAGATACTTTGACGGCTTTAACATTAATCAATAGATTATCTCAAACATGTTGGATTCTTCAAAATAATTATATTTGCTTATATAACAAATGTATTTTTAAATGTTCGTTCACGTAATAAAACCACTTAACGAAGATCGAGAAAGGTAACATTGCTCTGTGTGAAAATATTTATGAAATATTTATAATTATTTCTAATTTTTGAAATATTATTTTTATTTTTAATAATTTCATATATTTCTGCAATAATATTTTTTGTAAATTTATAAAGAAATTTAAAAATAGATAATATATTACTAAATATTTTACCATAATAAAGAGAAAGCACTAGACGTTTAATTTTGCATCTAATTGTGTAAGAACAGTTTATAGATTCTTATTGAAATCAAAATGACCCCTCCATGGCAAAATATTGCTACTGTTTTGTTCCTACAAATGATAAAAGATTGCATTTTTATAGATGTATAATGCTTTCTTTATAAATGTAAATAACATTAATATATATTATTACCTGGAATTGCGAAGATAAAGTTATTTCATTATTACTATCAGCGAAATTAATTGTATCCGGTGTTTCTTCATTTTTACGAAGAACTTTATCTGGTCTATGCGATTCATAAATTTTAATTAAACATCCAGGAATTAATGAAATAACAAGTACCACCAAAGTAAGTAACCAGAATGTAGTCGACATTAACAATTTAGGAAAGACAGAAAACATATCGCCATCGTATCGACTAAAACATAAAATCATTATTTTCTTACTTTTGATAGATTCTTATGACATTCAGTTGTTTTTCTTAAGAAAAAATGTCATTGCAACTGTTTTTTTCTATTAATTTAATTCTTGGTAATTATACTTACAATTTTGCAATAGAATATACAAATGCAAATATAAAAAAGCATAATTCTGATAATATTACACTAACTACTAATTGTACCGTCCAATATGAACTGCATACTAATAACTAAAAAATAAATATCAATTAAATATAATTGATGTGATATTTAGTAAAAATATGATATAAGAGTAGTAAAACAATACCTGACAATTAATAACAAGTATAGCCATATGGAATATCCATGTACTATAACTCCAGTGTTCCACCGGTGTATTGTTGTATAAGATTATAGGATTCTTACATATATAAAAATATAATACAAAATATATTATACAAACTTGCCATATACCTGCGAAGCAATGAAATTTATTTTATAAGTATATTCGCTAAATTCCATAAATTTCAATAAATGTTGTGAATGTTTACCTATAGCCGACCACAAGAAAAATTGTTTCCAGGATAATAGAAAATTTTTTTTATGAAGCTTGTATAAATACGGATTGGATAAAAGTTTATTAGCAGCGTAATCTTGCTCATATAATCCAAATATAACTATTGGAACTGATGTAAATATTACATTGAATAACATCAAGAACATACTATCATATAATCCCTGCATAGAAAATATTTATCATTGATAAAACATAATGATACTTACAGAAACTTATTATATATATGTGTATATATGTATGTTGAATTTTTACAATATCAACATACCTGACTAGAAAATCCATTGTGTATACCAAATAATAATTGTGGAGTAATGAAGACGAAATTTTTATAGAAAAAATATTGTGTTAACATACTGATACGTCGATAATACCAATGTCCATGTACGAGAAATACTTTTTTTAAATGTTTAAATCGTGCAAATGCAAAATCCGATGACATAGTTGCTTGACGTCCTTCTCTACCCATTATTCCTAGGCCAACATGAGCTTCTTGAATCATGGACACGTCGTTTCCCCCGTCGCCTATCGCTGCGGTTATTATTTCCTTTGTACTTTTTATCATTTGAACGATCTGCAACATTTAATTTTCCCGCTACTTTTAAAAGACTCGCCATTTGTATTCTACTTTATAAATACATGAACTACGTAATTCAAGTTCGCTACTAAATTTGACTCTGTATGAGAAAGAAAAAACGATTATTATTTAAAAATGAATTCGCAAGAATGAAAAAATTGTCATAGATAACGATTTATTTTCTAATTTTTTTAATCGTATCATTTAAATAATTATATACAATCATTCGTTACCTCACTTTTCTGGAGAGGTGTTAATCTACAACATACAACTGACTCACATGCCATTGTTACTTTTTTAAACAACTCTGGACACGTTTGAATAGCTGTTCTTAGGCAAGTTCCATTGATTAAAAATCCATATTGTCTATAAGGTTCCAATTTCATTTTACGTCTGTATAAAATCGCATATATATTTAAAATTATAATTATATTGTTATACATTAATAGGAAAGATGCGTAATTTGTGCGAATATTATTATACTTACTCGAAATTAGTTAAAGTAATAAAGCAAGTATGATCCGTTGTTTGAGTCATTAAACGTAATACTTCAGTACCTTTTTTAAAATGACCGCACAAAAAAGCTATATTTTCAGCAGTTTCTGCTTTGTCACCGGTGAGTACCCAAACCTACACAATAAAATATATAGTGAATGAGTTAATCCAGTGTTTCTCAACCTACAAGCCGTAATCTAATATTTGACTGTATTTAAATTTTTAATCACCCGTGAAACGATGTCTTTTACTTTACACTATAACGAGGACAATAATTAATTTATAAGTTCTAGCAGAATGTTCTTGCGAATTCGCGATAATACCGCAGTAACAAACGTATTTTAAAAACAAAAATACAGAGACTCCAGTTTCCCACGTTCTTAAAAATTTTTCATTATAAACATATAAGCTGCGGTATCATTACAAACAAATTTATTAGACCGCACAGCAAACAGGTTGAGAAACACTATGTTAACTAAAATCGATTTACGATATGCATATAACTTATAAAATCATAAACCTTTATTCCCGCCACTCTGAGACACTCGAGCGTTTCTTCAACGTCTTCTTGAAGACGATCTTCAACTGCAGTTACTCCAAGTAAAGTTAGACCACTTTCCATCTCTTCATAGGCACGTTGGATGCGCGTTTCTCGATCTTGTCCAATTACTTGTCTTGAAAGTTCAATATTACGTATCAACCGTTCATAATCTCTTTGGCTTAATTTCTTATAAGCCACTACCAAAGTACGCAATCCTCTCTAATGCAAAATACACAACGTATTGATAAAGACATACATAATCGTTATTGATAACATTATAGAACATTGGTATACCATAGAAAACTCTTCTACGTGAGCAGCTGCTGTTTCGATGTCTCCTTGTATAATCAAAGGTAAAATCGATGTGTCTGCACCTTTACAATACAACCACAAGTCATCTGCGGTATCCTTGAGTATTACTGACATTCTTTTCCGATCTGTTTAAACAAAATATGAAAAATTATATTCCTTTGTTTCAAACTATCAGAGTTAAAATTAAAATAATAACAATAATTGTTCAACTTACCAGAACTGAATTCTAATAAATCTATTTTTTTAAAACTAAGAATACTGTCGTTTATTTTAATCTCCATTACATTGCTCGTGTCTTTGTAAAATACAATACCGCATCTCGCGCTTGCTTCTACTAAAGCTTTTTCATCCGTCGATGTTGCCTGTAATATGTTAAATTCGATTGCAATACAATAATGTATCATTACTGTTTTCTTTTTTTATTTTAACACGTTTCGTGCCATCCCGATCTTAGGACACTTTCCGTTCAGGCCGCGTGGGGCATATACGTCCTACATTTTATGATTGCATTATTTTTCTTCTGACGTATGTCTCGCAATGATTAAAATAGTACAAAGATCATAATTATCAAGAGAAGGATGTATAGTTTAAGATGTACAAAACAACAAAGCAATAAATTTCTTTTTTTAGGCATTATTTTAACGAACACGTACCTGAGCATTCATTTCACCAAATGGCTTGAAAGGAAAGTTTAGTGTGAAGTGTATACGCCCAACGCGGCATGGAACGTGTTAAGCAAACATTAGAATATTGTCATCCTTACTTGATATTCTGGAAGATCTGGATGCATTAGTAATGAACTATTAATCTTCGTAGTTTCCTTTAATCTAAAACTTCTACGATACTCTAAACGTTTAGAGCTAATAATTGATTTTTGACTTGGTGGTGCAATTTGAACAACGTGGCAAAGAGAAATACTTATCATGAAGTGCCAGATTTCTGGCTGTAATGTTAATACAATTTTTTAATTATATGATCATTTTTTAAATATGTACATCTAATCATCAACATTCACCTGCCACGATTGTAATTTTACAGCCCTCTGTTCGTCTCCGTTAGGTGGTAACAAGTAAAGACTTCCATCACAATCTTTTTCTAAATATACTTTTCCATTGATAGAACATCTTCTGAATACCATCAAATTTTCAGTCAGTGTACCAGTTTTATCAGTAAATAAATACTCAACCTGACCAAGTTCCTCGTTTAAGTCCGATGTGTTGCTCAATGCTGGTTGATCGGATGATTTGTCGTACAAATCGATGTCCCACTCGAAGAAAAAGGATCCCAGAAATTTCTGTAATTCTGAAAAGCACATGGAATCACAATGCAAAAGAAAATATGCAATATTGTTGAAGGTGTTACGCATGATATCTTACCGATTGTGACGTATAACGATATCGGAACGATATAATTATACAATATAGCAAAACTGAAAAAGTCTATAATAATAGACAACGGGGTTATAGAACTTTTCTCTCCCAAATAGAAATCCCATGTTGAATTAGATTCTATTATGAATTTCAAAAGCGTAGAAATAATTATTTCAAGCAGCAGGAGTATGATAAATACAGTAAGATACTTATTGATAGATCTGAAAAAATAAATAATATTTTATTGTTAACTAAATATTAATATAAATTATTAATATTATTATAATGTTAACTTATTGATTTTTTTAGAAATAAAACGTTTAGGTACTTTTCTGCGGTTGAAAATTTATTAGGAACCGTTTTTGAATTTAAAGATAGCTTAGTGTCTTGACCAGTGTAAATCACACAGCCGATTATGTTATCAGTGTCTTTTAATATTGCGCCACGAAGCAACATATTATCTATTGTTAAAAATCCACTTGTCACTTCATCCATATCATTTTCTATTTCTATTTTTCCATGAAAAGTATAAAGATCTGCCATAGGTGTTTGACATGTCACAATTGCTTGCATCGATACGATCTCTTGAAGAGACATCGTCGAAACAATTTTCGGTACGCTTAACGTCTAAACATGTAAAAGAAAGTAACGTATAATGTAACATTTCTCAATCTCTACACAAGTATTTAAATAAATACCTTTAAATTGGTTTCTCCATCGAGGTTGGACGTTGTAACAAAACAATAACCGGAACTTTCGTCGCTGTGTAAAAGAAGAAGATCACATGGAATATCTTCGTCTCGTCCTACTTTTACTATATCTCCAACAACTATTTGCTCGCAGTGAATATCCTATGAAATTAAACGATAAACACATTTTATGTTTGTTATAAAATAAAATGATAACAATTATACTTCATTAAAATATTAAAACTGACCTGTGCACATTTGTTGCGAATAACGGTTACCAATCTTGTATTAATACGTTTATCTACTTTATATCGCAGATAATCTTCGTATCCTTGTTTGCAAGCAGTCACCAATATAACGAACGTTAAAGGTAGTGAGCTTGTAAATGGTGAAATTGGAGAATCTATCAGTATTGCTATTAGTGTGTTAATAAGGAAATATAAATTTGCTATACGTCGAAATTGTTCAAATAAATTTTTAGGGATGAAATTCCACACGGTATACTGTAAAAAAAAGTTCAAGGATTAAGGTAGAATCTTTTATAACACAACTATTTTACAAATATATAACGAATACTCACTTTATGGGACACGATGCGATTCTTCGGAAATTGGTTTTTTGATGGGACATTGTCAGGACTTATTCTAATGAATCTATGTTCAGGAAATATTGAAGAACTCTTACCCTAAAAATACATGTCTATATAAATACGAATATATAAATCAAAGTCAAGAAATTTCATTGAAAGAAATTATAATAAATAATACTGTAGTTCATACATTTTTCTCTAGTTCCTTTGTTATAGAAAATATGTATGAATTATAATATTTTCGCGATCTTATACATTTATACGTTAGGTTAAACTATCAAACTTTAATATCGTTTCATTTTTCTTCTTTTACGAAAAACATTAATATATTTCGTTGTGTTTTTACTAACGCGAATCCTACAATATTTAAACGATACTAAAATAACATGAAAATCTTTTTTGTTATCAAACAAAACGATGATAAAGAAAATAATAATATTTTCACGAATAAAGAGTATTGATTGCATAGACTTCCGACGGGATAAAAATTCATTGTATGAACATTGCTACGAACATAATACCATATAGATAATGGAATTTTAACTAAGAAAGTTGAAACGTCAAAACGAAACTGATTTTTAACGCGTGAGTAAAAAAGAAATATGTTATTTTTTTTACTATATTGTTCTGTAAAAATATTGTAAGCGAAAAATAATTCATCAGTGCTTGTTCGATTTTGATTACAATTTCTCAGGGTTTCAAAGTTGGATGATTGCAAAGATGCCCACGATCACAAAACTTTATAGGCAGACACGAAATTTTTTATTACACTTGTCTCGACAAATAAGACTTCGTGAAAAAAGATTCGAACGTTATAAACACGATGATGATTCTAGCGAAATAAAAGACACTTTCCTTACTACGTCAAGTAATCATTATTTACAAAACATGTATAAAGCTTGGCTGAAAGACAAAAATTCTGTACATTCCTCTTGGAATGAATTCTTTCAACAAATTTATTCACAAAGAAATAACATTAAATCTACTTCACCTGGAAGTAATATTCCTACCACCGCTTCAAAAATGACTTTGGATATAAAACAAACGGGAAAAGGGCCAGAACAAAGTAGTAATAATATTATTCATTTTCTTCATATAGTCTCGCATACATTTTGCATTAAATTTTGCTTGTTTTTTCAGTTTCATTGTTACCGAGAACTAGCGGGTCCTCTTTTGATCAATCTCATAGTGATAATTTTGTAGACAATACATTAAACGTTGATGCTACGATTCGTGCTTATCAGGTAAAAAAAAATGATTGATTGCTATGATGCTATGATATGATTAATATTTTTATATTTCAAGACGCGCGGTCATTTGATAGCCGATTTGGATCCACTGGGTATTCAAAATCCGGATTCCGCTAAGCTTCAAGGGACTGCCAAGTTACCACCAGCGATCGTGGTGAGGGAATATCTAAAGGGAATAACAGGAGCTGATATGGATAAAGAATTTTTATTGACGAAATCGACAATGATCGGTGGAACGAAGAGAAGTTTACCTTTGCGCGAGATCATTAAGAGATTAAATAAAATTTATTGCGGACATTTAGGACTCGAATACACTTATATTCACGATCCTATTATGGTAATCGATGAAACTCATAATTAAACTCAAAACGTACATTTTATACCGATTGTATACGTTCATTCAGTTAGATTGGTTAAGAGAAAAATTTGAAGTACCAAATGCTTGGAAATTATCTACCGAACACAGAAAATGGACTTGGACAAATATCATGAAAGCGGTGACATTTGAAGGATTTTTACAAAAGAAGTACAGTAGCGAAAAAAGATTCGGATTGGAAGGTTGCGAATCGGTTATCGCTGCAATGATGCAATGTTTGGAAACATCTTCTGAAAAAGGCAATAATTACCTTTTTCAAAATCTAAACAAAAGAATGAAATTTTATTTTATTTTCAATTTGAACATTTCTATTTGGTAGGAGTGGAAACCGTGGTAATAGGAATGGCACATCGAGGACGTCTGAACACATTAGTTAATGTATGTTCGAAACCTTTGCATCAATTATTCACCCAGTTCAATCCTATAGCTTTAGATGGTTTTGGATCAGGTGATGTAAAATATCATCTTGGAACGCATGCTGAAAAATTATTAGAAAGGTACCATACTTTATAATTTTTAATCTATGTTTTTTTCTTTATCTAATACTAAACACAGCTTTTACATTTTTATTTATACTTAATTCACATACAGAAGTAAGAAAAAAATGCACGTTTCCGTCATGGCGAATCCTTCGCATTTAGAAGCTATCGATCCTGTCGTAGTTGGTCGAGTTAGAGCAGAACAAGTGAACAAGAAAGATGTTAAAAGTAGGAAACGCGCTATTTCTATGATTTTTGTTCTCTTCTGTAAAAATGTTCATCTACAAGAATTTTCATTTACATTAACAAGGTGAAAGATCGTTGGCTCTTTTAGTTCACGGCGATGCTGCTTTAGCTGGGCAAGGAGTAGTTTTCGAAACGATGCACTTAACAAATCTACCAGAATATACAACTGGAGGTGTTATTCATATAGTTATAAATAATCAGGTAGAGTTTCGAATTTTATTGTAATAAAAAATTGATTGTATGATTTTATGAGAACAATTCCTTTATTATTTTTTAATATTTAAATTATTTAAGATTGGTTTTACGACCGATCCAAGATATTCTCGATCCAGTTGGCATTGCACGGATGTGGCGAGGGTCATAAACGCACCTGTATTTCATGTATACGGCGATGATCCGGATTTAGTCGTGTACTGTAGTCAAGTTGCTAGCGAATATAGGTAAATGTTTCGATACAACATAAATGTCTTACTTCAATCAAAAATTTCTACATAATATTTATCTAAAAGAGCAATATTTCATAATGACGTTATGGTCGACGTTGTGGGATATCGAAGATTTGGTCATAATGAATTGGACGAGCCTATGTTGACTCAGCCTATCATGTACAAGAACATAAAAGCTCGTCCAAATGTTCTGACCATCTACAGCGATAAACTTATAAAAGAGGGCGTGATAACCGAAGCTTTTGCGAAAGAAGTATGTGTCAAAATACATTAAATAATATTTTTAATGATAACTCTTCTCTTTCATCTTTTATTTCTTTTTTCAGGAAACCGAAAAATACTTAGATCATTGTGAAACAGAATTCAAGAAAGCACAATCCATTCAATCTATGCACATGTGGGATTGGCATGATATACCATGGAGCGAATTCTTTTCGGATCAAAGTCCGAGAAATAAGATCTCAGCATCGGGGATCGATTTGGAATCAATTAAAATGATTTGTAAAGTTTTGTCGACTCCTCCGGAAGGGATAACAGCGCACAATGCGGTGCGCAATAGAAGACGATCTATTTGTCAATAATTTAAATTTCTAGGTAATAATTTTTGTGTTTAGGTATTAAGAACAATGAGAAAACGAGGAGAGATGATGACAATTAGCAAAATTGACTGGGCTATGGGTGAAGGTTTAGCATTTCTTAGTCTATTGAAAGAAGGACATCATGTAAGATTATCCGGACAAGATGTGGAACGCGGAACATTTTCCCATCGAATGCATATCATTCATGATCAAAATAGGGACAAAGTATATAAAAATCTTCTGAACGATGCCTTTTCTGGCCAAGCACTTTATACCGTTTCAAACTCATCATTATCCGAATACGGGGTTTGCGGTAAAATTTATTATGCAGAAGAGATAAAATAGATATAAGCGTCAGAATATATATATTTCATTTTAATAACTATTAATTATTTAATATTGTTGTGCGAAAAAGGTTTCGAGTTAGGATACTCGGCTTACAATCACAACGCGCTTACGCTTTGGGAAGCACAATTCGGTGATTTTGTTAATACCTGTCAGGTAATACATTAACTCAATAGAAGGTGTAATGCTTAATTTGTCTAAAATCATCATGAATTACTATTTAGGTTACTATAGATTGTATATTATCTTCTGGCGAATCAAAATGGGGTAGACAAGTAGGATTAGTTTTGCTTTTACCACACGGCATGGAAGGCCAAGGACCTGAACACTCGTCTGCAAGATTGGAAAGATTTCTGCAAATGTGTGATGATGATTATGTTCAAATTCCAGGAACAGAATCGAATGCTTCCGATAATGAATTACCGGAAGAAATTATGACGCGACAACTTTTTGAGATTAATTGGATCGTTTGCAATTTGACTACACCGGCAAACATTTTTCATGTTTTACGACGACAAATATTGATGCCTTTTAGAAAACCACTGGTGTGAATAATTTTACATTGCAAATTTTATTATGATAAATAATAGATAATTAATTATCGTTCAATTATTTTAGGTACTTATGACACCAAAGTCATTGCTTCGACATCCAATGGCGGTATCGAGTTTCAAAGACATAGGCCCTGGTACAACGTTTCAACCTATGATTGGAGACCATTCTGTCAAACCAGAAGGCATTCAAAAAATACTATTTTGTTCGGGAAAAGTATACTATGATCTTTTTTTAGAACGTAAGGACAAACAATTAGAAGATAAAATTGCAATAATACGAATCGAACAACTTTGTCCCTTTCCGTATCACTTCGTTGCAAATGAACTCACTAAATATCCTAAATGCAAGGTAACTTAATGCGTATCGTTTATTTAATAATAATAATTACACAAAATTTCTCATTGCAAACAAAATTAAATAAAATTTATTAATTCGTTATATCTATATGTTACCTCAAACACGTAGATAATGTGGTTTCAAGAAGAACACAAAAATCAAGGCCCGTACTATTATGTAAGAGATAGATTAGCGTTAGCTTTGCGTCTACGAGTGGAACAAATAAACTATGGTGGCCGAGCACCTAGTGCATCTCCAGCAACTGGCAATAAGCCAATTTACGTAGCAGAATTTCAAAGCATGATGAAAATTGCAATGAATCTTGATTGAAGTTCTAAGAATGGTAATAATAATAATAATGTTTTCCAGATATAATTATCCAAATTCAATATATATTACGATATCATTTAAACTCACCAACAAGCACAGGTATTTCGTTCGTTCTTTTTTCCAACGCGAAAAAAGTAATCGATTTGTGCAATTCCACATCGTAGCATTATCATATATTTTTACGTTTTGATGTTAACAAAACAACTGACACATTACAAAACATTACAATCAATATAGAAGCTCAAAGAGGTGTTAACACAACTGACACGTCTTGGATACATATATGTTTGTCCTTAGCTAAAGTTTTACACTTCAAATAATGCTTCTTCGTATCATCGAAGATAATTCTTTAACGAACTAGACGCGTCTTTGATCTCAAATATTTTTTTAATTTTATTAAAATATAAGTCTAATTGTAAGTAAAGCAGTTAGTTCATTGTATGTACTTACCATATTCGTGTCAACTGTCTATGATTAAAATGTTCGATCGAACGAAAGAAACTCAATTTTTTTTCAAAAATATAGAAACATCGATTAAATATCTACGAAGTGATTTTAAATTGAAATTTGTTTTTCATCACTATAAAATTGATTATATCGTCTCAATACATCATTATATTTTTGTATAAGAGAGCAAACTTTTTGTTAATCTAAAATTTCAACGCGTTAGGAAGAGTCTTAAAGTAACATCGATTACGATTGATTCTGTTTCTTTTAATCTTGGAAAACGAATTTCGAAGTCGAAAGTTTATTTCTTAGAATTAATATGATAACATATGATAAAGAATTTAATATAGTCGATGTACTTTTATTTAGATATATCATCGATACTAAAAGCCTTGATATTATTACCTTCTTGACGTTCTTATCAAGTTCAACGTAGTCCGATAGTATAGTTTACTTTATTTTTATAGAAAAATTTGTCAAGTTTTCTCCAGATAATATTATCGATGAGATAACATCTTACTAGTAAATTTTCAATGTCTATTTTCCTCTATGATTATGTAAATTATTGAATCCCTTTTTTTCATTGTCAAAATTAATGTAACTATATATTCAGTCATCATAAAGTAGGATCAAATTTTTAATACCCTCTGATATAAATCAGTGATTAAAAACATTGATTATTAGATAAGAACATTACCAACTCAGAGAAATATTTTACTTTTTAAATGACATTTATAAAATATTTTCTATAAAAATTCAAACTTTCGATATAATTGAAAACAATAATATTCTTCTTCTATTTTTTTATGCATTTATGCATTGTATATTTTTAAAGGATTATGTTCTGAGCGCAAGTAAGAAAATTAAGGTCGGTAATATACCGATAGGGTATCGGAAAAGATTCTGCTATCCTACCGATAGAGTGCCATTAATCATTGTTTAAGAAAATGTCATAACTTATTGGGATCATTCGATTAGAAATTGATTTAAAACCATACGATTTATAACGACTGATTGTATTTAAATTGTGTCATTGTTGATTATCAAATAAAATTTATCAACGCTTATATATGACAATGATTAAATAAAAAGACGATTCTATTGAAAATACAAATATGACATTACCTGGTATTGGAGTGTTTGGCACAGGGAATATTGTCAGAGTAATTATTCCCTTTTTAAGAGAGAAGGGATTTAAAATAAAAGCTATATGGGGTAGAACGTTATCCGAAGTATCGGAAGCAGCAGCTGACCTGGAAATACCATTTCATACAAGTCGTATAGATGACGTACTTCTTAGGAAAGATGTAGATTTAATATTTATTATGTGTTCACCAAGTTTACATGCACAGATTGCAGTCAAAGCCTTGGGTATAGGAAAGCATGTGGTTTGTGATAAACCTGCTGGTTTAAGTCAAAGTGAAGCATTAAAAATGGTTAGAGCTGCTCAATATTATCCATCGTTAATCAGCATAGTCAATCATAGTTTAAGATTTCTACCAGCATTTGTTAGCATGAAAAAAGCTTTGGAAGAAGATTATTTAGGAGGTCCTATAACAATCATTGAAATTAGAGTACATATGGGAAGTTTATTACATAATGGTAAGTATTAAATAGTCGACACAATTAACTAATGTAAAATGATCTCCTTCTCTTATTGTAATCAATATTTTCATTTTTTTTTGTTACAGACTATGATTGGTTATGCGACGATACAATGGGTGGTGGAATTTTAGCATTAGTAGGTAGCCATGTAATAGACCTAATATTCCATTTAATTGGTCAACGTGCTATACGAGTACATGCTGTTGTTAGAACATTTACTCAAACTACAAAATATATAAATGGTATACGTCATATAACATCACCTGATTTTTGTACTTTTCAAATTGAGTTGAGCGGAGGAGCATTGGTTACGGCTACGTTAAGTAATCACTTACAAGGGCAGCTTTCTCAAGAAGTATTGATATGTGGCGGCGATAATCATCTTCTTGTTTGCAATGGAGATTTATATGGATTTAAGGGAGGACAAGAAGAAATTCTTTATCGAGATACAGAGGATTTAGAAGTACCTCTACCTGTCTCTAATTCTATTCCACGTCCTTACATTAAAGGATTACGAAATATGATTTCTGCGTTAAGAGAAGCTTTTCAATCAGTGGAAGATAAAAGAGGTTGGGTAAAGGAACCCGTGTTTTGTGCTGCTACATTTGAAGATGGCTTATATGTACAAGCGGTTATTGATGCATTACGCCAAAGTAACAAACGTAGAGAATGGACTAAAGTTAACATCTTAACAGAAGAGCCTGATCCGAACCCGTTACTCAGTGCTGCTGTTAGAGCTACAGCTATATCGATATAAACAAAAAACTCAGCGGGTATACACGAAGGAAGTGAAATTTCTTACATTTCAAAAAGGTCCATCATCATGTAAAAAGTTTCACTTCAAAAATTAATTTTATGAAGATGAATCAAAAATTAATATCTTCTCTTATCATATTCAATCTTATTAACAAGTTTTTAGTTTCTCACACATATATAAACACAAAATACTTCATATGTATATAGGCAGCTAAAATGTTTCTCTACACTGACAATGAGATATAATACTATCTTATATTTAATATTAGATATTTAATATCTTGTAGGCAAAACATAATAATTTTCTTTAGATTTTATAATTCAAATGAAAGTTTGTTTAATTTATGTTGTTTTTAACATAATTTAACATTTTATATATTGTATTATGTATAATTATTTATACATAGAGATATTTATTATAAAACAAAATATTATGAATATATTATATCCTTATATATAATATTAACTTACGTGCACAAATGATTTTACGAATTCCCCATCTTTATTCCTCGAAGAATAATGGTAAATTGATCTGTTTTCAATTGTTAAGATAGGCCAATTTTATCATTACCTTTCAACACTCATTATTATACACAACATATTCATAAATAAGAAAATGTATAATTAAAATTAACAACGAGTGGTCAAGCCATTAACCTACCTTCACGATCAACGGTATTGTCGCGAGTTTACAAATTCTATATTTTAAATAGATTTTTAACACATATTCACTCAACTATTTGCAATGAGATATTGTTGTGATTTATACAATGCCATACTTGATTAATGACGTAATGATATAATAATTATATATGTTATTACATATCAGTCACGTACTATAGCGCTGTGTCGATAAAGCGGATATGTATACAAATATATATATATATATAAAATGAGATTCTCTTGTAAGTGATTATGACATTCTGAACTTCGTACGTTTACGATATACATGATTGATCGCGTATAAAGAGAAAAGTTTTCTATAAAATTATATAATTTAGTTTTAATATAATTATTTTATCTTATACATTTTTAATTGATTTTTATTAAACATATACACTTATAATCATGAAAGAAAAAGAAACTTTAAAAGGATGGTACATTATATGGTGGCTGTTTAAATTAATTGGATTTCCAATTACTATACCATGGTTACTTTACCATTTTTATGACATTATGCAACAAAAGAAAGAAAAGGCAGTATTAAAAAACAAGGTATCAGCGTATATTCTAATTTGTGAACAAATATTTTATAGTATTGTTATTGCATTCATTATTTTCATTTCATTATGTAATTTAGGTTGTAATGATAACTGGTGCCAGTTCTGGATTAGGCGAAGCGTTAGCTCATGTATTTTATAGTTGCGGCTGCAGACTTATTTTAGTTGCAAGAAGAAAAGCAGAGTTGGAAAGGGTTAAAAATACATTAATGGAGAAACATTGTGTATGTTCATTGTATTCTATTTTATCACATATATGTATATATATATATATATATATATATAAATATTTATATTATATTAATAATATTACATTTTTCAGACAGTTCCGACTCATCCACCTGTAATTCTACCTTTGGATTTAACCGAAATCAACACTTTACAACCAGAAATATCAAAAGTCTTATCAATACATGAAAGAATCGACATTCTGATAAATAATGCTGGAATTTCATATCGAGGAGAGGTCATTAATACAAATGTGGATGTGGATATTAAAGTAATGCTCATTAATTATTTTGCACAAATAGCTTTAACTAAAGGTAAACATAAAAATTGATATATATTCAACACATTTATTTAATTTGAATATACGACATATATATTTTTCCAGCTGTTCTTCCGTCAATGTTAAAACAACAATATGGTCATGTAGTGTATATTAGCAGCGTTCAGGGTAAAATTTCTATACCTTATAGGTTTGTATAATTTTTACATCTATATCTTTGATTAGGATAGTCATTAATTATCGTAATTTATTAGATCTGCATACGCAGCATCTAAGCATGCATTACAAGCTTGGTGTGATGCCTGTAGAGCGGAATTAACCGAACAAAATATAAAGATTACAATAATTAGTCCTGGATATATAAAGACTGCTTTGTCATTAAACGCTTTAACAGGAAGTGGTGAAACATATGGAGGTTTGTTTATTCCAAGTATATTAAAATAATGTAAATAGAAAGTCTTATACTTTTATATAAAAACATAATATGCTTACAGTAATGGATCAAAATACAGAGCAAGGCTATTCTCCTAAATACGTTGCCAAAAAAGTTCTGAAAGCTGTATTGAAAAAAGAAAAGGATGAAATTATTGCACCAATTATCCCAAAATGTGGTATACTTATACGTTTCTTATTTCCTTCCCTTTACTTTTGGCTCATGGAGAAGCGCGCTAAAAAGTTAGATAAAGAAAAGTAATTTTCGAATAGATCTGGGGAATATATATATTACTTGGTTTTAAATATTATAATATAATATTTATTTGTGGATTATAGTTCAGATTTTATTAACTAACGTTTTTATTATTACTTATATTTTTATAATAATTAATAAATAATTAGAGTTAGAATCTGTTTTATAAAATAAATGCATTTATATATCGTATAAGTAAAAGTCATATGATACAAAAGTTCAAATATCTTTTTTTCAAAATTATTGTTTATTTAAGAATACTTAATATTTTTGTTTGATTATACCGAAAAAAGGAAATTTTTTACATGAGCTAAAGTTTTTATATGTGTATAAAATTATAAAGAAATATTTTCTGTATAAACATACAGAATTATCATGGAGTAGTGCATTAAAGTCTATATATAATTTAGTAATTATACTAATTAAATATCATAAATATATACTATACATCTAACTTTCATATATATGTACGTACGACTATTAAATTCATTACGAAAGAAATGTTTTATATATTAAAGATGCACATTTTATTAACATTCTAATTTCTTTTATTTGAACTAATAACTTTAATTTTATATTTATAGAATTATCATATATGAGAAAAATAAAGTCACGTAATTTTATATCAAATATTTATGTAATCTTAAAGTTATATAATTGTTTTTTTTTTATTATTTTATAAAATAAATATTTTTCTCATTATTAGAAATAAGTACGATTTATCGACTTGTGAATAAGGGTGAATAAAGGTAAATTGTTTAAAAATGTATGTACGTACATACACATAAATTTGTTACCATATAACATAAATGTGATTGACTTTACAATTTATATTTATTTTTTGTTTTTCTTGGTTTCCTATCTTTATTCTATTTTTATTTTTCTATTATAGTATATTCTTTATATAAGTTCTTTTTTTATATACTATATATATAATTTAAAGTTTATATATATTCATTTCAACATAATTCAAGATGAATCAAAATAATATGGTCTATCTATTACATATTTTGATATATTTTACAATTGATTAGTTTGGCAAAAAATCTAAACTCGAAGATATAATTTCACATAATCTCTAATCTTATGAGGATATTAATTTCATTTAATTTTTTACATTAAACTTTGTATGAATTAAATATAATTATTATATATTTATAAATAGTATATTGTTTTGCATTTTGTATTTTGCAAAATATGTATTTAATGCTGCACTTAAAACAATTTCTAACGGTACTATGTACATATTTATTAATAGAACATTTTATTATATATGTACAGCATTATAATGTACAACAAAGTTCTTAAAATACTCAGATGTTCTTACGCTCAGATATGAAAAGTAATATTTTTTCTTATAAATTTAAAATTATAATTCAAATACCTACTTGACTAGAACTTCTACATGTTCTAAAAATTCCAGTAATCTTAAACAAAGCTAATAGTTTAGTAATCAATTTCCTAGATAATAGATATTATATTATTTGATCGATTATATTATTGTTATAAATATATCAATAATATATTATATCATCGCCATAATTTTTGTTCAATTTATCGTTTGAACGGACCTTTTTTATCAATGCGAAGTTAAATAACTTCAAGAGATAAAAAGGAAGAATGAGATATAACTTTAAAATATTAAATCAAGTAGTGTGTTTTCTGTTCTTACATTCTTATGCTTGAAAATAAACAGAAAGAATTTTAAGAACATCTATTAAAAGAAATATAAATATATCTTCACCGAAATTCGTTTAGTTATCGGATGGGAATAAAATTCAAATATTTCAACTCACTTTTAATAATATTTTGATAAGGAATTATTTAAAATAAAAAAAGACTTTCAGAATACGTATAAGTAAATTTACTGTTCGATTTAATATTTGTTTGACAGTATATCGTTTCCCTCGTTTCAGAAGACATTCAGAATTTTGTTTTATATTGATAAAATAAAGGTTTTTTTTCATATAGTAACGTGAACAAAAATTGTTTGTAGTAAAATTAACAGGTCAGCCTTTATCTAACATCGATTAGAGTTTTATTTGTCATAAAAAATTAGAAATTTTTTAAATTATTTAAAAAAGAAATTAATATGAAAATATCATTAATATGTCAATGTTCATGTTCTAAGAGACATCAGATTTATCAAGACATTTGTGTTAATTGGAATGTTAGAACACCAGAATACTTGGCCATAAAGATATACGAATTCTTTGATTTATAATTGTTATGTTTATACGTTACTCGGCATATTTTATTTTAAATACCTAAGCAATCCATATTTTAATTTTAAGTAAGAGGCCTAATGTTGAAATACAAATAGAAAAATAATTCTTTTCTACAAGCTTCAAGATAAAAATGTTTTATGTTAGGTCCAAGAACTTTTCGAATCCTTCATCATTTATTGTAGGAATGTTGTAATGCACTTTTTATAGGGCTAAATTATGAAGCTTAGTATGCCTTTTTGAGTAAATATTTATTTACCCAAAATTTGTTGTTTCATTTTAATTGAAAAAAATTATTTACTGAAAACACAATATGATGTTATATTAACACAAAATGAATGTTATATTATTTAAATATTTTGGAGTATAGAATAACACTATCATTTACAATTATTATGCACAGGAACACAATCGTTCGCTTTAATTCTGGTTAATTTTATAAAATGAAAAACTCTAGGAAACGTTACTTTTTTTTATTCTCGCGTTCTGTGCAATCTACCTATATTATTTACAATCTAAAAATACATAATGCTATATTTAACTTCTAGGATTTAAAGTTGTAATTTTGTATATTTTTAAGAGAACACATATTACTTTAGTTCATTAGGAATATTTTTCAAATTGATTTGTGACAAAAAAATGATTGTAGTTAAATCGGTAAATTACGGATCACAGAGTAAAAACACCTATAACTCTGAAGATTATGTCTGGAGCTAAATGCAATAGTCAGATGAAGATACACTTTTGATGTGGTATAAAGTCTTCACTGTAAAGCAAATGTGATTCTGTATTTCTTCTAATATAAAGAATCCTATGCTAGGCCATGCTGATTCTATTGTGGATGATGTATTGCACGGCCTTTATGTTGTTGCTTTTCAATTTAAAAACAAGATATAATTCATTTTCAACAATTAAAACTTCATTTAAAAGCTTGATAAATTCTCCATGCGCTAATGCTAATTGCTGCCAGTGTAACACTCGCATGAAGAATTCGTCTCCTTGTATCGTCCTTTCTCACAAGGAACGTTGGCGATGAGGGGCCTAAGATAGCTAACACTTCCATATGTGGTAGCTTACTCGTGTCAGTTTCTACTTGGTATTGACAGCATGGATCAAACTGCCAAGATAACGTATAAAGTCCACAGGTTATAAGCGATACAAAACCTAATGTGCCACAAATATATGGTCGATCGCCCCATATAAGACCTGGAAATGTCAGTAATCGATTATTAAATTTATAATTGTTTTAATTTATAACTGTAATATAGAGACATTAACAAACCTGTTGTGATGGCGGTTAAGCCAGAAAGCGTCGCAGTTTTATGAAGACAATTTCCTACTGTTATCCACCTAGAAGTTTCATCTCCTAATTTTGATGGTTCGATAATAATTAAAGTACATTCAGATTCGAGAGCTCTTTCTAACTCGTACTCAAAAGTTTCGTGAGCATTTTCACTATCGTATACTTCTCTAATAATTGCAACTTTTGAATTATCATCCCTGTAAACATACAAATGTTACAATTCAAAAAGACTATGCTAAAGTTATTCTCATAAGTTTCGATATGCACAAATTAAATGAACATTTTATAACAATAAATTACAAAAATCTAAAAATGTATATTTATCATACTATAGACATAAGATGTACCTGCTAATAACATTGGTTTACAACATAGTTGCACGTAAATTCATATAATTCTAAAGTCTCTGATTCGTAAGAATACTCGTTAAACATTGATATCTCATGTATGACATTTAATAGTAGATCAATTATACAATTATAATTTTCTTTTCACCATTTGTTTCTTTTGCATGTTATGTAAGAGGTCTGGTTGAATTTAATTAGATTAAGATTTGTTTGAATAAAATATTTGTGTGTGTGTGTATATATTTCTAATAAATGCTTAATGTATTTTTATAATATTAAAATATATTATAACAACATTTTTTTATAGACTGATTTATACAGCAAACGTAGAAATTCAAAGTAATAATGTTTAGACTATAAGAAAAAATTAGAAATATACATATATATTAACCTTTAAGCGATTTATAATAACTTTTAAATATAACATTGTTGACGCTTTTACGTTAGAGGTCAAATACTCTTTAGAATTAAATATTTACAAATAATAACACAGAAAAGAAAAGGTTAATTTGTTATGTCCAAAGTATAACATTTGAGGTTAGCTATTATGATATTTACTTATATGATATTATAGTAATATTTTATATTAACATCGTTGGGACACTAATAAATATAAAATTTTATATAAAAAATCGAAATTAATCTAAGCTACGAACCTGTCAACGACTTTATCTACCATCTTTACAAGCAATCTTATGGACGATGGAACAACAGTCGTTCTAAACTCGAAACAAATTTATGAATATAGAACCGGATGTGTAAATCAGCTGATTCTTTCCTATATGAGTCTCTGACTCAAGTAGTCTAGTTAAACTTAAATATTGCTTTACTAGTAATATATTTGTTTAATAAAATATCTTTGTTAAACTCTTATTAAATAATACACTTTATTTTATTTTAATTATAAAATGAAATAAATTTGGAATATATAAATGTGTGTGTTAATAATATTATTTATTTCGGATGATAAAATATATGAAAATATGAACGTTTAATAGTTCCCGCCTTTTACGTTTTCTGGTTTATCATTTCGCTACTTCAAGATGTTACGATATATTCGATTTAATAGTAGCGGGAATAAAAACATAATAAGTAGTTCCAGGTTATTCTTTATATTATTTATTCCTTGTTAATTACTTTTGCATTAAAAATAATTGGGACAATCGTTGATTGATGTAATACAAATATTTAGTTATCATCGTACGGTGCATTATACATAATCGACAACGAACGTACACGCGCAGTGATAACTTTAGTATATTGCTATCAGATTACATAATTCGTATACCACCAAATATTATCGAATTTAAGAATGCATATAATCAAAGAATTTTATAAACGAGAGATGTCTGTGTAGAAAATATAACTTTGACGAATTTCGCAATTATATTCGAGGTCAATCGATTAACTCGAGAAATCAGCAACTTTTTATCTTACCTAATTAATAACATTTGATTTGATTAAATAAAATCGCGTTGTTTGTAAAACGATATTATTGGAAAAAGAATTGAAAAAAATCATAAGTTTGCATTGATCGAAGATCAGCCAATAGGAGAAGGCGTATGTATGTAAGAAAATATGGCGGATGCGCGTTGGTAAAGTTAGCGACCAATCAGCTTACGAAGATGGGACGATAGCTCGGGAAACGATTGGAAATGGTGTGCGGTAGCGCTTGGATTATAGGAAAATTGTACGGTAGCACGGTTTGCGGATGGATGTAAGCGCGAGTTTCGTTCTGTCATGGATATTATCGAACGGTGTGTCATAGCTTTGTTCGAGCATCGTCGTCGTGCCCGTCTTCGTGCTTATTTTTGTGCTAATCGTCGTCGACGTCGCCGGCGTCGTCGTCGTTGTTCTTCTTATTGCTAGATTCTTACAAAGTAGCAGCGCCTCTGGGCTCTGGGTTAAGAATCGCAAAGGGGCGTACGCGTCTTTTGCATGTAAATTCTCGATTCCAATTTCGTACTTGCACCTTTTGTTTTTCTCTGGTGCCCCGAGTGAAACACACTGCAAGAACGTCGGAGTGGAGAGGGGGGGGGAGAAAGAGAGAGCGTTAGAGAGGGAAAGGGAGCGGGAGGCTTCCCCGTGATTTCATTCTATCGTCCACGTGCTTTCGCAGCTTAGACCAGAGATTCTCAAGTGACGGGTGCGGCGGTGAAAGAGTGAAAAAGGCAGGAGAGGGGGACGGGTTTGGTTTGATCTCTCTCTCCCTCTTTTTTTCTCTTTCTTTCTATGCCGGAAGGTAAGAAAGAGTGGGGGGTAGAGTCAGTACCGCGTCGACCTTAGAGGAGTCTAGCGCTCGTTTCGTTGCATCGCGTTTAGTGCGTGTTCGTCAGTGCGCGAGTCAATGACGACCTCGTGAACGCGCGAGAACGCGCGTGCTCGTGCGACGATGCGCGTTTTCCGCGACGTCGAAAAAGAGAGAGAAGAAAGCAGAGAATATTAAGAAGAAGAAGAAGAAGAAGAAGAGGAGAAGAAGTGTGAGAAGAATAAAGGAAGAAACCAACGCTACGAATCATCGTCGAATCGTTCGATCACACGGCAAGAATTTACTACGTGATAAAATACAAGCGCGCGCGCGCGCGCATATTCAAGAGAAAACTTGCATTTTGTCTGCACCACCTCATCCTGCCCCTTTATTTCGAGGATATCAACATTTCTCTTGTTTCGAAAGGTGTTTATTTTCGAAGCGAGACACGGTGGTTGGGATTTTCAAGAAGCGCCAAAGTGATTAGAAACGTAAGTTAGGTGGCGATACTTTCGAGTGAAAGGGTAAGAAACGCGAACTTGTTGTTGGTTGTTGTTGTTGTTATTATTATTATTAAGACGATCAAAGAAAAGGATAACAACAAAGGTGATAAATCGAATAAAATAATAATAATAAGTGAAAGAAACTTTGAAAAGAGGAGGAAGTCAATGGAATGATGTCGTCGTGGTTGTTGTTACCGTTATTATTAGTGTTGCTGTTTTTATCGGCCGATAATAATTGTCGTCTTCGTCGATAATCCTTTGGCTCTTTGGTGTCGCGACGATGTCGAGCGGCACGGGGGCCGTCGTGCGTCCTACCGGCGCCGAGTGCAGGAAGTTCGCACCAAACATATTCAACAAGAGCAAGTGCAGCAGCTGCTTCAAACAGAAAGAGGAGCACAGTGCGGAGGCTCTGGAATGCAATAGGGTGAGTTTTCCTTGATGGACTCTATCTTTATCTCTCTCTCCCCGCATCCCTCTCTACCCCTCTTCCTCTCCCCATCCACGTATATCCTTTCCTTTCTTTCTTGCGTGCTCTGTGTCTCCTCTCTCTCTCTCTCTCTCTCTCTTTCTTTCTTTCTCTCTCCGTTTCTCCCTTTCATTCTGCTACCCTCCTCCATCTTTCTTGCGTAGATGGTCGACTCGACGCGGCTCGAGACGTCTCCCTTGACTTTTTCTTCTTCTTCTTCTTCTTCTTTTTCTTCCTTTTACTTCCCATCCCTTCTCTTCTCTTCTCTTCTCTTCACTTCTCTTCTCTTATTTTTCTTCTTTCTTCATCTCCGTTGAATTCCACGGCACGGTCGGTGAGGAACAACGGAAGGAGTGAGTGGGAGGGTGGGAGGGACAGAGGTATGTCTCGTAGGGATCATTGCTGCGTTACGTAAGTCATACTTTTTCATTCGATTTGTTGCTGTTACCTTCGGGGCATGTCTCAGAGGAGTAAACTCGATCGATAGATCGATCCGTCCGTCCGTCCGTCGTTCCTTCATTCGAGGGAGCATTAATTATTAATTGTTTCCTTTTATTACGACGCATTTTTTTTCCTTTGCACGAAGATGCGTCATCTTTGAAAGAATTGTTCGTTTGTTATTCTATTGATAAACAAGGTTTTTTTTTTTTTTACACCGTATAGTTCTTTCGGAATGCTTCTCTTTTTTATTTGGGTTTTTTTTTTTTATATATATATATATATACATATATCTTTTTTTTAAGGACAACGCGAATCCTTTCCGATTGTTATCGACGTTCTCGCGGCCTTGGCATCGTAACTTTTACGTATATACCTTTCGAATCCAACGTTTTCCTCTCGCTGTGTGACGCATCGCGCTCGTCTCTTATCTGGTATATTTATACGGATTCAACGAAAAAAATAAAAAAAAAAAAAAAAAAAAAAAAAAAAAAGAAAATCTCGATGCGTACCGATAAGAGTTTGTACGTTTCTCTTATCTTAAACCATACACACACACACACAGTATGAATTCAATCGATCGAAAATAAGTGGAAATAAGATTTCTACGTTTTTTTTTTTTTTGATTCCACCGAGAAAGAAAGAAGAAAAAGAAAGAAAGAAAGAAAGAAAGTAAAAAAGGAGATTAAGTCGGGAGAGCTTTTTTTTGTCAACAAGTATCTCGACTTATTTAGAAAAAAGGAGTCGAATCGAAATACTACTACGTAGAGGCACGCGTTTCTCCTTTCTTATACTCGTTTGCAAATTTCGGAATGCTGGCAGCCTTGCGACCTGTTCTCTCTTTCTCTCTCTCTTTCTCTCAGTGCATTCCAATCGCCTTCTTCCAGCACCCTTTATAACTGCCTGTCCGAGAGCCGTTGCTTCGTCGACTTTCGAAGGAACGCAGTAATTTGCGTGAGAAAGAGAGAGAGAGAGAGAGAATGTGTGTGTGTGTGTACGGTCCTCTTTCTCTTCTCGTAACAACATTGAGAGAGACTTAAAATGATTAGCCAAATTACGAGTACTATTTATTTTCTAAGCTTCTAATGTTCTTTCGATTTTTGTCGACCTTTTCATTATCGTTCAAAAATATATTTCTTTAATTATCTTTCCTCTTACCATCTACTTTCGATTCATCCATAAGATTGCTTTTTTATGAAATTAAGAATGGACTCGCGTATAGGTAGGTTACCAATGTTTCTCTCTCTCTCTTTCTTTCTTTCTCTTTTTCTCTTTTTCTCTTTTTATTATTGTAAGAAATTCCGCAATTCGCATCAAGTTGCAATCGTTTGGATGAGATCGCACATAACGCATATTTTCATATACACCGCACGTAGGAGGTTTTTTCGATTGGTGTTGTAAGTACATATAAAGCGAAATACGCTTGTCTCAATTGCTTTTCTTCTTTAATACTAATTACGAGAATATTTGGCTTTCTCCCTCTCGTACACGGTATCCTGTCGATTGACGATCTTAAGGAAGCCGTAAGACGTGCTTTTTACGAACGATACGCGCGTACGGACAAGTCAAAAACGTGTGCCCGTTATAAAAGCGACGGAGCTTATTTATATCGTTTGGTTTATGCATACGTAGTATGTATAGTTTGTCCGGCTTTAACGGTTATACCAAAACGACGACCGGCTTACCAATGACCAATGGCATTTTTCAACCGAAGTCAAATTCTAGTTGTTTTCTAATCGTATATATCTAGAAGAAGAAAATTTTATATATATTATATTTCATATTTTCTCAAATTCTACAATTATTATTTATTTTTGTTTTTTTCAACGGTGGTGGTGGTACTTTTCTTAGTTGGCAATGGCGATAAAATTTAACGACTGGGACGAGATAAAGATAGAAATTTTTGTTTGAAAAAACGAGACACGTTCGCGATGAAAAAATTCTTCCATCGTCATCGTCCACCTTGGTCGCGTTTGGCATTCGAAGAAGATGATGAGCGAGAGTCGAAGAATTTCGGTTTCCGTTCTTACGGCGACACGAAGAAATTTTGGCACCTGCCCTTTAAAATTCTTTCTACGCTAGGAGACGTCAACATTTTTTCTTTTCTTTTTCGAACGGCGAACGTTACCGTGTAACGTGTTTATTCGTTGTCGTCATCTCTCTCTCTCTCTCTTTCTCTCTCTCTCTTCCTCTCGCTCTCTCTTGGCCGCATATTTACTTTGCTTACGACTCCGAAGCGTATGCCATAAGCGAGATACTGTTATGTTCGGTGCTGTGTGTATGTATATACGACAGACAACGACGACGACATATCTCTTCGTTGATCTTGATATTTCTTTCTCGCTTTTCTGACCCATTCAGTTTGTTATAATGTTTCCTTGAAATTATTCGTTATTAAAGAAGAATATATTATAATATATCGTAGAGAAACGAATAGATTATCATTCGCGATTAAATCGCAACTATTATTATTATTATTATTATTAACGACGTCGAAGAATTTCTATTATTTTCTTTTATGTTTGAATCTTTAATTCGAGTATGGCGAAAGGAGGTAGTGAAACTAGTATATCACCTGATTGCTGAAGTCAGGACGAGAGGCAGCGAGTAGTTCTGTTCTGTTCTGTTTTGCGCGTTTCTTAAACGTGCCGTTACAAAAAGGTAAAAAATCTTTAAGAGCGCGAGCATCCAGTTGTAACGGTATACGGTATATGGAAGCGAAAGAAAAGGGGAGATCGGTTCGATCGTTAAGCGGGTAAACGCTAAATGAAACGTCCTGTATGCCACAGAGTTACTAGTGAATGGGAGTCGAGTCTAACCCGCGCACCTTCGGTGGCCCGCTTTACGTTCTATCCCGGATAGATCGCCCTCCAGCGATTAATCCAGTCTGGGAAGTTGAAGAAGAACGGCCGAAGAACGACCGAATGAGTGAGATACTTGGTTAGATAGAGAGATACACTGCGAAAGCAGAGAGAGAGAGAGAGAGAGAGAGAGAGAGAGAGAGAGGGAAGGCAACTTCTTTCCTTCGAATCCAAGCTTTTTCCTCGCGCCTTTCTTGCTACCATCCTTGCTGCTTGCTACCTTCCTTGCTGCTTTCCTTGCTGCTGTTGCTACTTTCCTGCCATAGAAGACGAACAGAGCATGCGCACGCTTCTCTTATCTTTATAAGGACTTCATTGAAAACGTCGTCGGCGGAAAACAAACACGGCTCTCGAGAATCTATCGGAGTGGTCATCATCACCCCTGCCGTCGTCGTCGTCGTCGTCGTCGTCGTCGTCATCGTCATCGCGTTTTACAACTTCTCCTTACCGATCGACCAAAATACTTTTATGAGTATGGGCATCGCGCGTGCGTCGAATGAATTATTTCTTTCCTACGCGTAAGAACGCGCGTTTCATTAGAAAGGAAACACAAAGTATTTTTAAATCATTATTTATTATTCCTATCTCAGAAATTGTTCGTTAATTTTTATCCATTTTCTTTTTTTTTTTTTTTTCTGTTTTCATAAATAAATATATGTCGCGTTTCGTTATTTCGATGATAAATTTGAAGAGAGTTGTTTTTACCTTCATAGGATTACTCGTCAATTCCAGGAATATTCTATGGGTCTGTAACATGAATGAACTAACTCTATCGTCCGGGTTTTACCTTAACGGAGTTAACTCTTAACGAGAAAATCTGGTTCCGAGACGGTTTCCGCGTACTAGTATCTTCGAAGGAAGATTACCGTGGCGCGAGTAACTCGACCGATCTTTCCCCTTGACAAGCTTCCTAAGCTCCTCCTTTTCTTCTTCTTCTTCATCTTCTTTCTTTTTCTTTTTCTTTTTTATTTTCCTTCGACTTCGCCCGATGAGATAGCGCGTTATCTGCAATCTCGACGATCTGGGATCGGCGTAAAACTTGGGAACGCTCGTAAAATGAGTGGAATTCTCAGCCCGTATACTTTTTATCCCCTGTCCTCTAGGATAAGAAGAAAATCCTTTCTTATCTTTTGTGTGGATTTCTTGGAAAAATAAAAATGAGAAAAAGAAAGAGAGAGAGAGTGAGAGAGAGAGAGAGAGAGAGAAAAGGTACCCCGGGAGAAAGATAAAAAGGCGATTGGCAAAGATCGATGAGTTGTTTCGTTGTGTTGTTCTTTGGTCTTTATCTTCGTCACCACGATCATTTATCCACTCTCGGTCGTTCGTCTTCCCGTTGACCACCGGCAATTAGCTTCACGGTCACGGCAAGGACATCCACTTTGTGATAGGCTAAACGCAGGTCGGCCAAGTTATGAGATATTACTCAGCGAACGGACATAGACACGGCCCGGGGGATGGGAGGAGGGTTGACTCCAACCGGAATGATAATAACGGCACCGGATTTACCCTTTTACATTTCCGTTCTTTAATTGATAGTTATCGTTAGGCATATCTTAAGATCTATATTAAGGTTTTCCAATTTGATCTTATATTTTAAAAGGATGTTTTAGTTCACGGCGCCAATTTTCTATATGGCTGTCAGGGGGAATTTAACTGAAT